CTCCTGTAAAAATATTTGATTATATTCCAGAAATACAAATCACGATTTTTATTTATTGTATTAAAGTTTTCGGAAATATGTGTTATTTTCTTCTATATAGTGGCATATTATTGAGTGGCGACCCTGCTCAAGACCCCACACTGTCGTCGCTCTCTGGCAGCAGGGCTATTTGAAAGAGGGGATCGATATAACCCCCCATGTGGTGTAGCCAGCCCATAGCTACGACGCAGGTCCAAGGAAATATCCGCGTACCCCAAGGAAAATTCCCAGCAGAAAACCCCTCTGGTGGCTACCAGGAGCCTGTATAGGAGAAAAAAGTAGATACTGTATCTTTCTCCCACCAGCAAACCCCCCAGAGAGGCAGTTCCCGATTCCCGTCTTATTCAAAATTTCGAAATTCCCAACATGTTATCAATCATTTCAAACATGAGCTTTCTTAACATCATTGCATTTGCCGTGATAATTTCTACATTTTCTTATTTATTTAATATACACAAATTTTGGAAATTCACTAAGTTATGTTCAGGAATGTAAAACATTTTTTGAAGTTGTGGAAAATCGGGGAAAAAGATTTTGTAATTTCGATGGTAACTAACAGAGTTTTTAAAATCTGTAAAAATTTGCGGTTGCACAGTGTGGACACTTGCTTGAAAAAGGTGTTTAATTTCACTAACTGGAAAAAATTTATGACGAACTTAAGTTTAAAATGTTTGTTTTTCATTTTCAAATTTTAAAAATTTCTGAAACCCTATTCATTACTGCAAACCTAAACTTTTAAACATCTTTTTATGCTCCATGATGTTTTGCACATTTTAATTCTTCAAATTTTATACATCTTAAGAATTGACAAAGCTATGTGCAATAGTGTAAAAACGTTTTTGAATTTGGGGAAAATTGGAAAAAAGTGTTCATACTGTACAACCAAACAAAATTATCTAAATTTTCAACATATATCCTTGAAAATACGACATTATTCAAAGAACAGTTTGCATGCATCCTCCAAAAAAAATTAAATTCTGCAAACTATTGCGTTATTCCAATTTTCGTTTCCCTAAAAATAAAAAGTCCTGTTTTTCAAACTGTTCAAAATGCATCTTCATTCATATTTCCCCTGAGAACATTCATCCATCATTTTGAAACCGTGATGGATTTATTATTTGTTTCCCCGGTTTTTTTTCCCTTTCTCGATTAGGCTGTTTTTCATGTGCGAAAAATGCTGGCAACCAGAGTGATTGTCGGTGTTTGGGGGGTTTACCTGCCCCAGAATTGGAAAGTCCAGCGCGCGCAGGGAGACAGCGTTGTGCTCTATCTACGACGCATGGCAAGTCGCAGATCTGGTCAGCCACCCAGAGGATAGGTACGAAACGTGGATGCAAAATTCGTGACTCCAAGATCCTCATCACCACGTAGGCGATCCCGGGACTCATTTCACATCGTTTATCCTTCCCCCATGATCGAAATCGAAAATAAAGTACTGTATTGTATATCCTTTTCCTCTGACGGTCACCCAGGCATTTTTATCCTTGAATTCGGGATTTTCGTCCTCGTGTTCTGAGAAAGTAGGAAATCCATCGCAGTGGCATTTTCCCTTTTATATGCGAGAGGCTGTAGAATTTGTTCTTTCCCTTGCAACTGGAACAGCCAGAATTTGCATGGGGCGACATCTATATAATAGCAACGACGCACGCCCAAGGCGAAAAATTGATTAGTTTGGTATCGTTACTGCTGCATTTCCTCATTACTTTATCTGACCAGTGAATCGATTGGAAGAGGCAACTAAAACGAAAGTTGTATCACATTTACCGATTTTTCGCCTAGGTCTCCTGCATTTTCCTTGGAACGTATTTTTTTGTATGACATTTTCTGGTGTGCATAATGCAATCAGAGTGATGGTCATTTGCTTGCTTTTTAGAAGAATGAATGCAGACCGCGGAATCATTCAGAGAAGCGGAAAACATGCTGAACAATAAATACAGCAGTTTGCTTTTCAACTTCCAGATGTCGCTATTGGGTCTTCGAAAAAAATGAACCTGCAATTCAAGAGGACTAATTTTGAGGAACCAAAACTGAGCATCTCACCGTGGTTTCGTGGTCGACATCGACAGACGCCATCTCCCAGAACGTCTGCAGCGACAGCGTGTGCGCATTCCCCGTGATTGCAAATTCCTCGCGCGAATCCGCGCGGAAAAAAAAACTCAAGAGCAAAAAAAAAACAAAACAAAACAGAATAATCTGCACGGGAATCAGCGCACTTTTCTTTCCCAGGGGAAGTAGGACATGAGTTCCGCGATAAGAGTCGATCCGATCAAGTGGCAGCTCGTTCAATCCACGATCGTTGTATACACACTGCCGTGTGAAATCAGACGCGGATATTCATTCTGGAAATCAGCTGGACACTTTCACAGCTGGATGCGATGGTTGAGTCAAACGTCTAATAACGGGAAAGAAATCGCAAAAAATAAAACAACAAAAATCAGCGTGAAAGGTTGAGGTTTTCCGAGCTTACCCAAATAATTTTGCAAAGACTCGATTGAACCTCTTCAAAGAACACAAACACTGAATGTTACTTCATCATGCCGCGAATTTCCGCCACCTTTCACAAATTTATCCCTACGGAATTGAAAAAAAAATCGGCTCGTAGAATTTGAATAGAACTCGTGTATTTATATTTTATGATGAACGACATCGAGTGTGAAAGCGGAAAATTACTTTGATCGGAGTTCTTCGAGATAGATTCTTTATGTTTACAAATCATTTAATTTGTAAACATAAGCTTTGCCTTCGACTTCACACTTTGAAGACTAACTTGTACATAGCTGTTTTCGAAGAAAAATATTTCAAGCTGAAAGATTTTAATATAAAGGACTCTGAAATCAACAGAATTATCAAATACGGTATGAACAAGTCAGATTCAACTGCTGAATCATGATATTTTTTTTTACAAGCCGTCGAGATTTAATTCATAAAAACGACCACCTTTACAATCTTATCGTGGAACCGATTGAAGAAATGGCGGCTTTCTCACTGCGTTCATCTACGCTTACTCAAATATATCGCCTTCCTATTTTTATATTTTCCATCAAGAAAATTCATTCAGTTCAAAAAAAGGAATCATGAGCATGCAGTGACGTTAAAATGCGATCCTTCTGGTCGATGGTAATTTTATTCCTTTTCTAGTCGAACCACTTTCATAGCAAGCCCTTTCTTCCACAGAAGCAGTGACGTCGGTTCAAAAATAGCTGATTATAATGTTCTTGAGCGCATTAACCGAAACTTGTGATGACGTTCAGTTTGGGTGACGCACACGTGTCGATTAGTGACAAATAAATCCGCGAACATTTGATGATTATTCGAGGATTCAAATAATTTCCAACTCTGGCTGCTTTGAAATACACTATTTAAACGTGGACTTCATTTTTCTCTCAAAGTAACGCGCCAAAAACTGGTTTGCGGATTCGAGATGTATTGGCTTCACTGCAGACTTGTGCTTACGGTTTCCACTCATTATATGTGAAATAACGATGTACATGCCCTAAATAACACATGTACAAGACAGGAAGCTGCGGAGATTTTTGAAAGTGCCCTAAATCTCAGATGTACAACACTATACCGGAGCTGATTTTATCAACTTTCCGTTGAAGATTTTCGGAAAAATATAATTTCTATCAACCCTGAAAATGCTGCATGAAATACGGCATATACATCACAGTATATATTTAAACACAGCACGTGGTACACAAAAATGTTCAATTATTCGCAAAAGCGAGCGCGCAAAAATATTATGCATGACGAATAAGAGGCTCATGCGCACTTGGCAAGCATATAACGCGTGAACAATTTGCAGCCTCCAGCATCACACGTCATCTCGAAGGACGCATATACCTTATCATCGGGAAACATGCAGTCGAAGAAGTATACGAGTGCCTTTATAATATTCGCGACACTTCGCCAAGGACTTTTCGACACTTTATGCCCCACAGGGATTTGCGCTTGAACTGCTTGTTCAGGAAACCGAGTCAGCGTGTCGGCGGCTCAAAACCAGCGTCGACTCAGACGTTCGAACGGAATTTCCCCAACAAAGCCCTGTCTCGTGACCTCACCAGACTTCTTACATTATTTGCAAGGCGCGAATGTGTACCTGCTAAAAAAGTGTTCTGTCTGTCGGAAGGAAGTGAGACTGCGGGAAACCGCTGAAATATTTTCATGACTAAGCAGCGTCAAAACAGCGTGACGTTCCCGTCGATCCTTTTTTTTTTGTGTGTGCATAACATGCGTCAATGAAGGGGGATATGGACAATTTGAGACAGGAAATTTGACACTAGACGATTTGAAACTGCATGGAACATTTAGAGACAGAGATGGTTAAGTAATGTATTGGGATATTGGTACAGTACTGCACTTGTTTCTTGCTTTTTTGGGCTCGATTTCGAACCAAATGTGAATATTTTGTGCAGTTTACCTCGCCCATATTTTTCCATTGTAAGCTAGGGAAGTGATATAGGATTTTGTGATCTGTCATCTGTCTCATGTGTTTTTCTGTGCATTACTGTGTATTACAACCGATCAAGAGAGAGGAATGGAAGCCAAGAAAAGTTTTTTTTAAAGAAAATTCCGAGCTGCTACTTTACTACAATTTTTTGGCTTAAGTGAGGAATAAAATTAGCTTAAATTTTGACAGAACAGTGCAATTTCTTTTCTTTTTCACACCTTTAATGAAAGATATGAGGGAGAAACCCAGGAAATTCATTTTATGTGAATGCTTCAGTCTCAAATAGTTTCTGGCTCAAAATGTGTCTGTCTCAAATTGGCCCTCTCTCAAATTGCCTGCCTCAATCTTTCCTCAACTCATTATTATTTTGTGGAAGGTTGTGTAGTTCTGCGAACGAACTTCTCGCAAGATTCAGCAAGCATCGAAGGATTGATGTTCTTTTTTTCTCAAGGATCACGTGAAGAGTGATCGACTTGCGATGTTTTTTTTTGTTGAAATTTGCCAGAAAATGTCAATTTTGATCCACTGGTTTCAGGTATTCTACAAGGGTTAGTCTGAGTCTCACAAAAAACAATTCACTTTTTTGTTGTTGTGCTGCTCGGTTTTATGGACTCGTCAACTTTTAAGGCTTCTCCTCGTGCAATGCTTTGCAATAACTTCACATTTCCTTCACCCTTCTCAGCTGTGATGTTTTATCTATACTGTATATACATTCTGCGATAAACATTTTACAGGACAGTATTCCGTGAGTGTAAGTGACCGGAGGAAAGCAGCATGCGAAGTACTGTAAATGCTTTTACTTCGCATCACATTTCAAAGATATGCGAATACAACTGATGCTGTTGAAGTAATTCACTTCGGTCATAAAAATAACACGTACGGCATCGAACGCAACCAAACTGAACTATACAGTACTCCGTACATTCTTAGCACTGTTTGGTGTAGATTTTCAGGGTTTCGATTTTTTGAAAATGAAATAAATGCACGTTTTCGAAATAGAGACATGCATGGAATTAGAATACGTTTTCGGGGTTTCGATTTTTTGAAAATGAAATAAATGCACGTTTTCGAAATAGAGACATGCATGGAATTAGAATACAGTATAATACAGTACAGTACAGGAATACAGTATACAGTAATAGAATACAGTAATACGGCAGACTTAAATTTTTTAATTGAAAGACTTTATGACCAGTATTCACAAAATGTTTGCTCTCCTGCAAAAATTGAACGAAGAACCACTTGAGTAGCTATTTTATAATTGTCTTTAAAAAATTGGGAAAGACAGGCTTGAAGAGAAAGGTTTTTCAGAATGAAAAATTATAAATAATTTGTTTCAAAAGGTGACGATTTTTACAAACTGTTATTAGGAGAAAAGCCAACTTTTATTTTCCATCAGATGATGTAAACTATCATTGTCTTTCCAAATTCTCAGATACATTTAACAGACTTCATTGCTAATTTTGATAAATTTATCATGCTGAAGTAAATTTCCCACGGACAAGCCAACAAATTCTGAGGACCGGCGCCGGTCCGCGGACCAGGGGTAGTGAATCACTGCTGGTCTAGATTTTCTAGATATTCAATTTTACTTGATACAATATATACTGTACTGTATGCAACACAGTTTTCTGCTTGAAATACTGCGTAAAAATTTCTGAAGACCTGACTGCTCGTCATTGGGAATCAAAGGCATCCCAAATACAGCTTATGAATGGTATCTTTTGTGTCTATAGTTGCATGTTGGAAACTTTGCCTATTTAAAAGATTTAATGGAACACATCGTTTTCTAGTACGATCCCATCGGAATAGTACTTTACTAATAGTTGCACTACAAAACTTACGAAGGTGCCAAAAACGGTCTTCCGAAAACCGGAATCGAGATTGAAGGATTATTTTGCACGTTGCGTTTGTCGAATTGATTGATGATCTAGTAACATACGTATTTTTCGAATATGAGGCGAACAATTCAACTCTTAGCGACATCTATGTTCATGTAGCCTTTATTCAGTTCTCACCTGCAAAATGTTTTAAACAGATACCGTCGTCAACGGCTATGAGATCAACATAAAAAAATCGTGTCTTCTGCCAGGACGGTAAAAATCAGAGATCAACAGTGTCCAATCTGCTGACAACAAAAACATGTTAAATTGATGGGGTTTAAAAGATTAATTTCAAAATAAACCACGGTACAGGATTTGCAAAATTGTTTTCGTTTATTACAAACACTAAGGACACGAATTGTCCAAATGATAAATTCAACAGCCACAACGGATCAAAACACGACGAATCTGTTTTGAGCCTTTTGAGCAAAACCAAATGAGAAATCTCCTTAAACTCATGCCAAAAAAGAACTACATAATTGTTCATGACAAGTCTTGAACATGCCCGTCAAATAAACAATTTGCCCGAATCAGCGGATTCAAAATAAACATCACTCTAAAAAAAAAGCGGGCACATTGAAATTGGGAAACATTTTTCGGCTGGTACACACGACTCTCGACAAGCTTTTCTTTCAAATTTGCTGACTGAATTTTGGGCACGAAAAAGTACACAGCACTTGGATCAATCGATCAAAGATCTTCGAGTTTCGATTCGAGAGAATAAATTGAGTCAAATAACGTAATCCGCAACAGGCCACGTCTGATTTGCTAAACGTCACTCCGTGGTGTTCGGATTCGTATAAGAGAATCTGGAAAACTGGGACTGGTCCATTTTCGCCAAAACCTTCGGGTCGATGATTGACAACTTCACTTTTTGCGCAGTGAATCCACGATCAAAGTATGAGGTATCGAGGGGATGCATCTGAGAAATGAAATTATATTCCTGAAACCTCCGTTTTCTCTTAATAATAATTCAAATGAAATGAACTTTTACCAGTTTTGGCCTGAAAGGTGGTTCAATCTCCTTCCTCTCAAGTTTGTCCCAGTCAATTCTTCGGAAAAAGGGTTGGTGAATAATGTCACCAGCCGAACAAGAAGCAGTGCCAAGCCGACGCTTGGGTTCCTTCTCCAACAACTGATGAAAATGAATACATTCATGCAAGAATCCTTTGTACATATATCCGAAATTAATAGACTTGGAAGAAGAAAAAAACCCCAGAATTTTGTAGTTCTGAAAGAGCTTCAATCGAACGACCTTCTTATCTAGAAACTGCGCAATATAGATTTGTTCGATGAAATTTATGCAGATTTCCTTCAACCAATCCAAAGAAATCATAATATACCTGATATTTGCATGACTTTTCGTATTAGACACTGTAAGATAAACGTCGAATTCTGTATATCGAACCGGATAAAATTTTGGATTACATGTTCAACAAACAAAAATTTCGAGCGTATCTGGTGACAAATGACCAAGTCTCAGAATTGTTGATCCAGCAAAAATTAAATACAGCCCTTTTACAAATTGTATGTGATCTTTGTACATCTCTGAGCAGTCACATATTGCAAAACATGCAAATTGAATCTGAATGACATGTGGAACTGGGGCAGAAATGTCGCAATCTGTCTCCAATTACATCGTTCTCTTCCTTGCTTGTCATATTTTTGTCAGAAGATGTCTTTTTGACCAATCTGACAGGAATCTTTTTAGATGATTCGAGACGAACGTTTTCAAACGACACCCTGAATAATCACACTGAACATCGAAAAATCAATGCTTGGTTCAACTCAGGATTTGAAATTCCTCCACTTTCTAGGGTAATTTTGAATGATATCTTAATAAAGTTACACACTTGTAAGAACGAAGTCCCACGTTTTTTATGCGCATGAATTGCTGCTCATGTAAATGTTACCGAGTGCAAAATCGGGACCATTTAAAATTGATTTAAATTCGTACTAATGAGTTCATTCACATTTAAACACAAAAAGCTCAAATCGTTCAGGAGCTATCATTCAGCTCGATCCAAATTGAGGACATTTTAAATTGTATTCTACTCTCTTATGGGGAATACATAAAACAAAGTTTCTCAAAATAACTCACCAACATAAGCAAGGATTTTGCTGCACTAGATAAAAATCGAGGGTAATAAGGCTGTTCGTTGCAGATGGACCAGAAGAGTTCATCCTCGTCACCGCCATTGAACGGGGATTGACCAATGAGCATTTCATAACACAAAACTCCAAAAGACCACCAGTCCACGCATTGATTGTAGTGCAACCCTTTGATGATCTGAGAAGCAAAGAACAATTCATTTCAAATCCATAATAAGGAGGAAAATATCTTTGGGCAAAATTTCAAAGAAATCTGTCGTTTTACTCAATAGCCAAAACAAAATATATCACCTGGGATTAGAACTCGCATCCTCCAAATTACAAGTCTCAGAATTTCATGTCATGGTTTGCGAAAAGATGCGTGACATTCCAAGGTGTATACAGAAAACTTTTCTGAAGACATTTGTAAAGCATTTAGAGATATTTTCCGGGGTTTCTGGCATTCTTCAATTACGCTAATTTTGACTCAAATCTCAGACTTTGCCCGAAGCGTGTAAAAATCACACATTCGGTCGAAATGCTTCTAGTCAAATTTATATAGGCTTCAAATTCACACTACCCTCCCCCCGTGAAATCCTTGCACATATTTACTCACTTCTGGCGCCATGTAGTCGGGTGTGCCGCAAAAAGAATCCGCTGTCCTGTCCAGGTAAACTTGCAATTTGCACATGCCGAAATCTGCGATTCGCAAGTGACCTTCATAGTCCAGAATGATGTTGTCGAGTTTCAGATCACTAAAAAATGGGATGCATTCAATGCCAATTATCGAATTTGACGAAAGGTATTCTTGCCAAATAGTAGTATTTGGTTAAAATTGTGGGTCGCTATTTCATGATGCTGTAATGTTATTGAAGAAAACGATAGCTTGTAAAATTAATCTCTTCTCAGAAAATTAAGGGTGCTAATGCTTCAAGTCTTGTTTCAGGGAAAATATCCACAATTGTCAAATATGAAAAGCACGGACTTAATGATCTATCGAAGAAAATTGAGTGAAATTTTGTTGACATCACCGACCTTGAATTTCGCGGAGAAGCTCGTCGATTTTTCAAATATAAAAATGACAGTTCTGACAATATAACTGCTACTATACTAAAGATCGAAATAATCTTCAATCTGAACAATTTACTTGAAGAAAAACACCTGTTCCCAGTATTTCATTCCAAAAATCTCGCAATGAAAATTCGTCAGCATAAAAACCTTTTTGAAATTTCTTGAATTTGTCATAACGAGATGCCTGAAGACGCGCAACGCAGTTAACGATTTGCAAAAGAAAATGAAAAACCATGCCCATTTCCCTCAAGCCCGGTCTTGCAGTGATTTAATTTGTGTTACGATTATGTGCACCCATTTTGTTTTCAAAATGTTAGAGAATTTGCCTTAAATATAAATTAACCAGGAGGACATAGTTTTGCGAATCAACGAACCAATTATGCAGATATCTTCGCTCGACTTTAATGAGTCCTTTCACAAAGAAAAAAGTTCAATCCCAAGAAAATACACGGAGAAATCTGATTTCATTCGCAATGAAAAATGACGAAAACAGACGAGCAAAAAATTACCGGTAAACGATACCCTTTTTGTGCAAAAACCGAAGCCCGCTGATGATTTCGGCGCCGTAAAAGCTGGCTCGGTCTTTTTCGAAACGACCCGAAGCCTGGATATGAAACATCAGATCCCCGCCGTTGAGGTACTCCATGACAAAAAACAAATGCGACTGAGTCTGGAATGTGCAGAAAAGCTGGCACAAAAACGGGTGTTTCGTGCCGATCGTCAGCACCTTTCGTTCAATCAACGTGCACTCCACGTCATCGTCCTCCAAAACCACGTCCTTTTTCAGACACTTGACAGCAAAGTAACAATCCGTGGATCGGAGCTCAGCAAGGATCACCTTTCCAAAGCTGCCCTTTCCAAGAACCTTTTAGACAGAAAATACAGTTGAACCTTGATAACTCGGTCATCCATAATAAGTCCAATATATTTTTTTTTCAAGTCCCTGTCTGAATCAGTGGGGTCTTCGTTAACAAACACCCTGGTTAACAAACTTTGCATTTTGTCCTTGGCTGGCTTGGATAAAAAACAATGGCGTGGCTTAAAAACTTTGGGGGTTCAAAAGTGGGCCTCCCAAAATGCCCACCCCCTTGGGCCTGGAATTTGCACATATATATTTCCCGGTTGCTATACTTATTGCTCTTCTAGAGGATTGAGGTTGATGGAGAAACAAAAATGAAATGATCCTCCCGTTTTAAAAGAAACTGAAAGACCAATTTGGCAGATGAAACCCTGCCTCTAAGTTCAGCATCCTGTCAACTCATTTAAGAAATAATTTAAGGCCCAGAAAATCACCAATTACAATTTCCTGCAATTCTTCCATCTTGTTTCCTCAGCTCAAAATCTCCTTGACACGAATTTTTTTTGCTGACCCTTGAAATTTGACTCAGAGAAGTTCGAATTCAGCAGGTAAATAATAAAATAAATCATGAAAGTATTTTTGCGAAATTTAAATTTTCATGCTTAACATCTTCCTCTGTGTATCTTCTGCGGTTTTAGGCGAATTCAGAGTTCTGAAGTCAACAATTCGAAAGAGAAAGATCAACATCTCACTGGAAATACTGTATAAGACGCGGTTGATTCTGTTTCAAAAAATCAGCTCCAAAACGATCAAGAGGGGAGTTTTGCTTTCTACAGTCTTACATTTACATTGGGTCACCTTTGAAAAATTGATAGAATCATGTCTTTATGTTGCATCAAAATAAGAAAAAAATGAAGCACCTTGAGGAAGACGAAATCCTCGGAGGAGTATTTGCGGAACTTGGGTCTTCGCGGGGCAGGCATAGGAACTGCAATTCCGCGTTGCAAAAACTCCTCCTCCTTTGTTTTGATGGTTCTGCTGATGTCCACTGAACCTTCTTCTTCTGTTGTGGTCTCTGCCTCCGAAGAGGTTTCCTCTTCGTCTTCTTCATCGTCATCATCGGACATGGTTGTTCTTGAGGATGCCGAACTGGTGCTCTTGCGTGAAGCTGCTTTCCAAGAATAAACTGGAATCATTTCAAATTAAACCATCAGCAAGAAAATAATACAGCATACTCAAAGATTAATATGATTCATCAATGATCGCGCAGTTGGGGAAGATAAGTTATTTTTGAAACGCAAAATTCTAGTCTTATATAATTCCCCCCCCCCCCAAAATAGAGGTCTGTGATGGGTGATATGGAACCTACTTTCTGATAATTCTAGTGATGAAAAAGAGCAACAGAAGTCTGTCATTAATTGTGGAACTTTTGTGCTGAATATTTTGGAAATACAAAAAATCGCATTATAACAAACTTGTGAGAAGTCAGAAAATGTTCATGTACAAGAAATAGGTTTTCTGAATGAGATAACAATTTACAAAAGAAAATTGAAACATTAGAGAAAAATGCAAAATTTGCTTTAAAAAATCATGATTGAATTCAGGATATCAACTTGAAAAAAGACGAAGGATTTTTTATGCATGGAAATTGCTTGTATCTGGGTTACATGTGAATAGGAGAAGCGTATACACTCTTGAATATGAGATAAATCCGCAGCTGGGAGTACTTCGGCAACCCGGAAACTTGTACGCACAACTTTTTTCAGTACTGTACTTCCTATTACAATGTATAAAGTCGCATGCTAACATTCAGAATAAAACATCGTGACTGAAGGAGAAGCACGAATCCTAAAATATTTTTGGAGTGGAGGAACTTGAGATTGAGACTCAGGTGGGGAATTTATAGTTTCATTGCCTAATCTTCAGAACAGGACCATATTTTTTGGAAAAGTCAATGAGAATGTAAAGGGTTTATAAATACAGTAAAACGATTAACCAGCATAAAATAAATAGTCAAATCACCAGACGACGATGATTTGGCTTCTGGCTTTCTTAATGAATCTTGCTGTCCTTCAGCGGGTCCTGACGTCGAATCCAGTATTTTTTGTGCCTCTGTTGACGAAAAAAGTTTAATAGCTTCAATGTGAAATTTTCAAAATGGTATTAAAAAACAGATTATTGTACCTTTAATTTTTGTGTCCGTAGGCACAACAGATTCAGAATTTTGCGCTTTTGATGTGACGGAATTTGGTAATTTGGGAGACATTTTTGATGATGATGTCAATTTGTGCGCCGATTTTGAGAGAGGTTCAGTTGCGTTTTTGCTCTGCGAAAGCGTTTGTTTTTCTGGTGCAACTTCGGCAACCTGAATAATGTGCTCTTCCTTTTGGTCACATCTCGTCAGGATATTTTTTTGCGCCTTTTTCGATGTTGATGATTCATCTTGACGTTTCTGATCGGGAGCTTTGTTCGCTGGAGCTTGATGCTTCATTTCAACTTCTTCTCCTTTTACTGATGAGGTGTCTTTATTATTTTGTGTTTTCGATTTTTCGATTCTGCTTTCTGTCGCACGCGTTACAATTTCAGGTTTTATTTCTGGGTTTTCAACTTCAGCTTTCTTTTCTGTCGTGAGGGATTTTCCAATTACACCTTCTGTCCTCTGCGGTGGAGAAGATTCTTCTTTTTTCGGCTGCTTTTGAGGCAAAATTTGGGCTTGAGGTTTCGGCTGACTAGACGTTTCTGTCTTCATTGGTTTGATAGGAACGACGTTCGTTTTCTTTTGTAAGCAAGGTTCTTTTTCTGGCTTCTTCAAAACTTCGGGAATAACTTCAGATTGCTTCAAAGGCTTGCTTTCGGGTTGTTTCTGAATCACAGCTTCAGCTTGAGATTTGAGCGGACACGGGGATTTTTCTTTGGTTGGTTTCTTGGTAATATTGTCGGTTTTTGTTTGAAAATTCGGTTCCTTGTCGATTTTTTGGGTCAGAATTTCAGATTGCTTCGTAATTTCCCGGCCTGTCGATTTTCCAATCACAGCTAAACTCTTCTGTTTAATTTCATGCACTTCGCTTGACTTTTTGGCTAAATCAGGATTAGCTCGAGATTTTGACTCCGTCGAAGATTTCTGCGCTTCTTTTTCCTTATTCAAATCGTCTGCTTCTTGAAACTGTAACTTTTGTTTGACCTCTGGATGTCTAATTGAGTCTTCATCTTTTTGTTTCGGCATTTTGGAGCACTCATCGTTTGGCTTTTTGTGTTGCAGAACTTCATCCTTATTCAATCGGTTCAAGGGTTGTTCAGTTGCAGATTTCTCGATCACAGGCTCAAGTTGTTTTGTTAATTTTTGGTTGACGGTCTCATCGCTTTTTTGGGTTGCCAGGAATGTTTCCTGTTGAGGTGATTTTACTTCATTTTTCTTGTCGAAAATGGCTGGTTTACTCGCTTCATCGATGACTTTCAGAGGTGCTTTTTCGTCTGAAGTGCTACTGACGGTTTTGGTTATTTGTTTCAATTCGTTTCCTTGTGGCATTGACTTATTTTCAGTAGCAGATTTTGCAGGGATTAAGTTTAGAGCAGGGTTTATTGGTTCTTTCTCTTCTGCTTTTTGAAAAACTGCCGTTTTATTGACGATGGGGATGAGATTTTCCGGAACCTCGGGTTTCGGTGTGGTTGTAGTTGGTTCTACAGGATTATTCGAAGCCCAAAGCATTTTCCTTTCTGCAACTGACTTTTCGTTGGCTGCCTTGTTGCCAGCTGTTCTTACAGCAGCAGCAATTCCTTTCCCAGGCTGAGCCCCTTCCAGCTTTTTCTTGAGCAATTGCTGTTTCCAAGCAGGTACCACTGGTGGTGCTTGTGGAGCAGCAGTAGTACCGGGTTCTTCTTCGTCTTCCGGAATGACCGCCGGAATCAAAGAACTCGGGGCCTTTTCGATCTCCCAAATGATGTCTTTTGTGACAGGGGTTTTCTTGTTGCGGCTAACGGACTGTCGGCGAGTGGAAGTCCGATTTGCGATTTCCGATGGTGACTCTTTTATTATGGGCTCTGGTTCTTCTTTGGGTTCTGATGGTTTCCTTTCAGTGGTTGCAGCTTCGGATGAAGCCTCGCTGATTTCCGAGATGAGTGAAGACAGTTTTCCGGAAGGCGTTTTCCTGTAAGATTTCAGTATGCGTTCTTCTTTGGCTTGCGAGGTGGGAGAAGACGGGGTTTCCGGGTTCTCCAGGGACTTTTTCCGACCTTGCTTGGTCACGTTTGGGTGGTGGTGGATTTGATGGGAACTGCTTTTTCTTCTTCCGAGAACAGCCGGGGATAAAATGAACTCTTCCGCTGTTTCTTCTTCTTGTTCTTCATTGGCCTTTTCTTTTTCTTCTTTTTCGCGGGGTGTTTTAGACTCAGGGGGACTTGTTTGTTCGCCCGTGTCCGGAGGAGAAGCAGGTTGGTACTCAAGTTCGTCTTCGTAAAGGTCTGTTCTGGTTTCAGCTTCTGCGATTAAAAGCTCCAGTAAAGCATTCTCTTCCTCTTTCTTCTCCTCTTCCTGTCTTTTCCCAGTGTCTCCGTCGTCGTCTTCTTCTTCTTCTTCTTCCGTTTCCTCATCTCCACTGTCGTCTTCCTCTTTCATGGGAGACGCGGAAAAAACGGGGGTTGCAGGAGTCGGTTGGAAGTAGCCTCGCGACGTGTACATGTCTTTGTACTTTTTGGATTTTCGGGTGTTGATGCGCCATTTTTCTTGCAGTCTTTGACCGGGGGTCTTTTTGCCGGGAAGGACGAAAGGAAGACTGGAGGGGATGGCTGATGCTTGGGGTCGGACACGAGTTGCTGGAGCTTCGGTGTCCGGGGTGAGTTTGGACGTGAGGACTCGGACAACGGGGCGCCCGCGGCGAATCGTCCCATACGTCATTTTTCGCTGCAACATCCCGGCTGGGCTGGATTCGTTGTTGTTGGTGTTGTTGTTGTTGTTGTTGGGGCTTCCTTCGCGAACGGGGCTCATGATGCCAGAGTTGGGGTCTTCTTTTGGTGCAGAATAAGACGATGATGATGACATGGAAGGAATGTTCATGGATAACTGTGGAAAGAGCAGCAGAAAGAAACGTGAGTTGTGTGATGGGCGCAGCAAGATTTAGTATTTTAAAGCTTCGAAATGAAACTTTGGGCTGCGCTATATGAAGCATTCGCGGGGGGGCTTTTCTATGACCTGATCTACAACATAGTATTCTAGTTCATGTTCCAATTCTGCAGCCTCACGGTCTGGTATGCATAGTTTTAAAAAGGTACCCTTTTTAAATATTTTATTGCACAAAATTTATTGAAACAAGATTCCTTACAAAATTCCAACTACTTTCTGAGATGAGAGATCAATTTCTTGGCATACAAATTTTTTAACGAACTGCAATCATAGGTGGATTCGTGGATTTTTGTCAGCTGTGTATTCAATCACTGTATTTGCGAAAAATTTGCATTTAATTGAAAGGAAGCAAATTGGCATGTGCGACTTCCAAGATGTGGATCCCAAGACATGGAAATAATTACTTCTCAGACTGTAGATATGTTGGAACCAGTCACATGTTTCCTAAAATTAATTGGAGTAACATAAATTTATAATGACGTATATTTTTTGTCAATAGCAGTGGCTGAATTTGTTCGACGCATCACGATTTGAAGTTAGTTTTATTGGTTTCGTGACATGGTCCAGATACAAAGGAAGATTCTTCGGAGTTCCAAGTGTCCATAAGTCATATTTTCCACATGTCAGAGAGTCCTTATATATACGTATCGGAGCACACTGTACCCATAAAGTGCATCCTAGAAGTGGTAGATGTGACGGAATTTATGGAACAATTCCTCGAGGCAAAAGTTGAGAAGAAGATGCTAATTAGATTATTTGGGTTAGCTATTGGTTTAAGGAATTATTTTTTCGTTTCCGCGATGCATGCCTGAGCATTTACGCAGTAAAAGGCCTGGAAGATGCTGGAAATTTCAAGAAATATTGTGTGGGTCATCAAGCTCCTCGTTTTCTGTGCAAATTTCTTCGCACCAATGGGAAGAAAAGGTTTGTTTTCAACACACAGTTTGTGAACCCTCATCATGCGCTGACTGGAGAGCAGAAATTTTGCCCTGTGGCTGACAGGCTTATTATTGGCGTCTGGCGATTTCTGTGCGAATCTGGTTTTGTTTTCGGCTTTCCGCGATTGTGAGGATCTGGGTTCAGTGTTTTCCAGTTACAGTACTGTAGAAAAATGATGAATTTTGTTCCCAATCATCAGAATCTTTTTAAGCCGCAGCAGCATAGAAGGTTCCCCTATTTTGGAACTCTTGAAATTTGATGTCCGAATAAAGAAGTTGTGAGCAGGGTCTCTAAGGGAGCCGAAAAATTTCTTCCAATTTCTGGCTTCATATAAAGCCCACCGCCACATTTCCGTCAAAAAGTGCAGGATGAAAATCGAACTGCTGATGGACACCCCGACCATAAAAAAAAGTCGGCAGGTTATTAAGCCAAAAATAGCTTTGATTACTGCCTGACTCACCTGCGGTGACACCACGGGATGGATCCTAGTACTGATCCCAGCAGTGGAACTGCTGCTGGTCGGGATAGAGATCGTATCGTGGTACGAAGCAGCAGAAGACCCCAAGCTCAGACCACCACTGGTGCTCGTCGGTGGTAAATGCACGGAACTCGGTTGATAATCATGACACACCATCACGTTCCCCGGATGCGTGTAATCGTAGCTGTTGCGAAATGGCCGCGGAGTGGCGGAAGTGGCCGCCAGCAGCGAAGGCGGCACCGGCGACATGATGTAGCGGGCGTAGTTTGACGAAGGCGTCTTTCTCATCGCCGACGCTCCCACCATGAAGGACTCTGAAATCGTGGGCAGTGTGGACGAGGTGTAACGGGAAGGCATTAAACGAGGAGAGGAGTAGTACGGGGAAGACGATGAAGAAGAAGAAGAGGAGGCTGATGATAATGATGAGAACTGAGGTGGACCGCGGTTGTAATTAGACCCCGGGTTGCTGCGAAGGGAACTGCTCGCGATTGACGTCAGAACAGGGCTGGGCATTAGTAGGGGGCTCTGGTGGTGGTGGTGGTGGTGGAGGTGGTGGTGGTGCAGCTGGTAACTGCTGCTCGGGGTGGACAGTGATGACGCCAGAGGATCCCACGGCATCTTTTATCCTGCTCTTCTCTTCCACCTGTTTCTCAATATTCCGCAGAAGAATAAAATAAACCCGGAATCGCGTCACCTGATTTCTCCGATTTTCACAAATAGTATTTCTTCTGTTTTTCGCAGGCTTCCCATGTCGAAATCCTTCAACGGATTGAATATAGGAAAGCGTCACACAGTGTGAGATTATTAATTCTCCTGTTTTACCTGCTTAAGGAAACAAAAATGGATCTCTGATGAATTTTCGTCAGATCCCAACTACCGGGAGGAAACCGTAGGAATTTAATCAGAATTCAAATCCCATTTTTAATGCTAAAAATAATCGGAATAATTCAAGTTGACACTCTCAATAAATTATTATTCAGAGTTTGAATACAATAAATTTCCCAGAACGATTTTGCCGAATTTCATACTTCCTGCCGTGGTGAAAATAAAAAAATGTCGCTGAATGAGATGAACACGGAATCAACCTTCTCTAACAAAATAATGTGAACATTTGCATTCGAAATTCAAAGGACTTGTAAAAATGAAATACGAATGCAAGAGCCCATGTTCTAACGTTTTGGCACTGGTGGCGTATTTTTAAAAAGCTCATTTTGAATATCCAAGTCATAAGGGCGATTGACATATCAAGACAACGAGAGAGGTTCTTTCTCATCCAGCAACGATTTACTGATTTTTTCTTTCACTGCTGGATTCACCGAAAATATTTAGAAAGCTTCAAAGTTGAAAAGTAGACCACAATACTATCATTTGACTGGTTTCTGATGCACGCCCGTAAGTACCGTGTTATAATTCTTGTTTTCATGACATCCGAATGCGTTTGATGCAGTATGAAAGCCGTGTTTTAAACGCAAATTCTGTCAGCCTTTGGTGTCACGCTTTGAACTTTCTTGATTTTGGCATCTCTGGCAAAATTCGCGTCAGCGGTCGACAGAATCTTTCGAAAAATTTGTTTATCTTTGAATAAATGAATTACCAAAGGCTTTGCATCTATCTGGCCGCTTTTTTTTATCCTTTTTCTAGAACTCCATAGATAACCGAAGTTTTAGTTCGAATTGATGTTTGGCGAAAGGGAAATTGACAGGGTGGAGAAGTACTTTGAAATAAATACTGGATCCGAATGGATGTCTCTCGATCTGGTTTTGCAATGCCTGACTCATGAAAGGGTGCCTCGCGTTCATGGCATTTCTTTGATGCTCGTTAGACGCATAATTGGTGCTAGATAGTAAGTACAGCATCGACCAAAAACGATTAATTTTTATTTTTAATTATATTCAAAGGCGACTTTGAGTTTAGAAATCCCAGCTTTTTCAAGTTGAAAATTTCTTGTAGTAATCATTGCAATTATTTCGAGAGAGGTTCAAATTTTGAAGATGTTTTGTAGAGAGGTATTTTCAAGTCGATTGATGGTCACTGAAAATGCATTAAAAGAAAAGTTTAACATTTTTTATTTCACTGCAGGAATGCTAAACAGTAAAACGTATTTTCAATCGATCGGAATTTTCTCCAGCTGGCTCTACCTAAATTGTGGCGGACTAGAATGACTCATATGGTAATGTATCTTGAAATAGACTGAAAATTAATGGTAAATTAAATTTTTTATCGATTCTTTCATACTATGAAATTAGAAAAAGCTCGATATTTTTCATGTTTCTTTTGTTACAAATCTGAGTTTTCCCAATGACTTTATGTTGAATATGAACTTGACAATCACAGAAATAGATCGTCAGCCATGTATTTTAACTTTTTGAATGATGGTAGAACTTCCGAAACATGGCAATCTTTCCTTCGAATCAAACATAATAAGCCCAATCGCTTTGTCTTAATTTCGAAGAAAAGTTTCACGATTAAATCTTAGTGAATACCACGCCACATAAAACTTAACTCCGTCCAAAAAAAGCACTTTCATTCATACTCAACATCTTTCATCACAGAAATTAAATCATGCAGCATCAATATGCCGTGATCAGGTATATCTCCAGTTTTTTTACATTGATGTACTGTATTCAACATTGGATTTAATTTTCCATTTCAAAATATATTGTGCTAATCTCAGGCAAGAATTTACCGCGCATCAATTCTAAATTCAAGACGCCATCAAATCCGGAATGACATCACTTTCAATCTCATTAAGACGAACTTCCTCTAGAAAGATATTTTACAATGATTTTCACTGTACAGTGTAATGCAGTTTTTATATTATGTTCTCTTGCCATTTAATTACAGCAGGGGCTCTCTACAGCAAAATAAAAATTTTCAGCTCCCTCAAGTTATGTTGTAGAGAGAGTCCGTCTGTATGCTCTCCTTGAACATAAGAGGAAATCAAATACTGTAGAGGAAAATACCCTGAATTTATCATCTTTAAATTTTCAAATAAAAACTTGTCTTTAACGCCACTGAATCGCGCTATAAACAGCGCCTTGAAACCCCGTCAGGTTTCCCCCTCTTCTCTTCTCTTCAATATAATTTGTTTAAAAAAATTAATCATTATTGCATCACTATAGCAATGATATCAATCGTTGCAATCGTCTTTCCACTTCACTGTCCGTTGGCAGATCTGTGGTGTCACGATTCTAACGAACACTAAAAGATGCCCTCATCGTCTGCACAGACATGCGAGCTTTCACACAGAGCTGGCCTTGAAGTCTCCCCATTTGCGCCGAGTGTCGCAGACGAGACAAATTCACTCGAAAGCCTCGAAATTAAAAACAAACACTGGAAGGGAAAGTAGATCATCAGCACCCACACCCAAACTCAAAGGCATATACTGCAGAAGAGTTCAGTAATAATAGCACCCACAAGCACAAGCGTGCACACGTGAGATGACGAGTCCCATGCTCTCCCTGGCTCCAACCTGGCGCCAAGGAGACACGGACTGCGCCAGCAAAAAACGCCGCGATCATCAGTCGCACGCCAAGTTCTTCGACAGCGACGAGAGCGGGCGCGAGGAGCAGCGAAAGAGTGTGGACTAACAAAAAAAAAAAAAAAAACCACAACCAGAGACAAATAAGATGTTGGGGGAGTGAGAAAGGCAAGAATAATAATACACAACTAAGAATAGTAGGAACTACACAGAACAGGAGGAACAGGAATGATGAATGCTTACCAGAATAAGTTGGGGGAAAAAAAGAAGAGAGGAATGGGGAGTTTTAAGAGCTTCGGAAATCTTGGGTGCTGCTCTCTTGAGGTGGAGGGTCATTTTGAAACTCCTAGTGGTCTTTGTCAGTTTTGCTTCACAAAGTTTGGGAAGTTCTTGTCAAAAAATTATAACTGTTTGTTTATTCTTGATTGTAAAAATAAAAGGAGTAAAAACTTTCTGAAAGGGTATCTGTTACAGCCCTCAGTAATTTTTAAGGCTTGAGCTTGCACGATAGGTACCCTTGGAAAGTTCCTTTTTTGACCGGAGAAACTAAGCACATTACAAGTTGCCTAATTTGAGGACTTGTTTGTAAAATAGTGAAAATGTGGATGTCATTCTTATAATAAATAGAAGACATTTTTAATTGTCATTGCTGATCAATTTTTGGCATTCGGTGAAGATGACTCAACCAATTTTTTTTGGATCCAAAAATTTTTAGTCACTTTGTATGACTGTTAAAATATGATCAAATAATAATTTTTTCTTATTTCAAAAGGCAGAGAACAACTGTGCAGAAGAATACCCCACAAATTCATCCATTTTGATCTGAAAATGACTCCATGAGGCAAAAACTAATAATAAATATTGCTACTCTACAGTCTACACAGAGTTGATTAAAAACTTTAAAAAAGTACAAACATGAGTTACCGTATTAACATGGAAAACCATGTACTTTACAGTACAGTGGAATCATCAACTTTCAAAGTGAAGCAATCAATATCCTTCCAATGATGAAGGGTTGTTTTCCATCACCCTGCAAACAAAAGTTTTAGTATAATCAGCTGGCAGAAAAATTCAGACTTCAATGTGTGAATCAAGTCCTGAAAAGAATGAACCGGGAAAGATAATTCTTTATCAAGAACATAAAAAGTCTCATGTTTAAAATGTTGATAAAGACCCATAGAACATCAAATAGAAAAATATGTTGATGGAAATCCCCTCAACGAATAATCTGATTACTATACAGAAAGGGTTCGACTTTTTTGTTGCTGTGTTTCACCCCAACAGAAAGGAAATGATGAGATTAAAGTTACAGCAAATTTTTTATTCACCATTCTCAAGGAAAGTTTTTGCAAAAGTTGTAGTACATTATTCTTAATACATCAGATCCTACTCCTCAAGTCCTCATGTGCGTATTCCTTTATATCACACACAGATGCAAAATCATAAAATTTATCAATTGACCAGCAGATGTAACAAGAATATTTGCTCAAAAGAAGGTCAAGTATATACACCATGTGATTTTGAGTTTATTCAAGCAAAGTATCAAGAAGAAAAACTCGTATTTTACTTTGGTTCTTGTGAAATGCAAACTTTTATATCATCATATAGAATTTAAAAATTTGTAATGATTGTTTTGAAATCAATTTTGAGCAAATTTGTAAAATCCCAGCTAAATCTAAAATCTGCAGGTGTGTTGAATTTGACTTACAAACTATGTTATGTATACATACCAACCTTCCAACCTACCGACAAGTGTACTCATATACTGTACTGTAGTATGTACCAAGACAAAGTGGATCAAATTATGTAAAAATTTTTTAGCATGCTTGAGTTCTGCTGAACATGAACGAAGATTTTTCCTGGACATCCCTAAGTTTTTCTTAGCCCTCAAATTAAAAACCCAAACAATACTTACAGTAAATTAATTGAAAGATGCCTTCTTTCCAAAAAACGCCCTTTCATGTTACTTTTCGAGTCAGTTCTCTGCATGTGAACGGAACACATAGCGGCAGTTAGCGCCATGCACAACCGCACTAATTGAAAAAGATGACATTTCCTTTGAAATGATGGCAAAATTGGCAAGAAACGTTTTGAGAAGCCCACAAAATGCGGGCTTTTGGCCAGAGAGAACAGAGTTCGTGGCATCACGCGACACATGCTCTGTTCAGGTGGGCGTGCGGTTTTGCAAAACCAGATCAGCGCAGACAGAATTGAAAAAAGATTCAAGGGAACTGGGAACAAATTTTGCAAAGCAAGCCATGACCCATTGCGATGACCTTTTGGAAAAGTTCCAATTAAAAGCTATCTAATTACATTGCCTCCTTCGGGTTATAAATAGGTATAGAGCCCACAGTCGCCACCTGCGGGCTCCATCTAGTATATTTCGTCTGGGCAGAAATTATTGCACAAGGTACACAGTATATGTTCATAAGGAGGCATTTTTAAATACTGTATTCTAACTGCATCAGGTTGGGTTATCTCATAGCATCACTTCATCCCCACCAACTTCTTTTCATCCCATAATTTCTGGCATTCAAGAAGAAGTTATTTCTACTCGCTGGTTGTCAAATTGAGAAAAAGAAAGCATGACGACGTTCGTCCATCCCTTGTGTGGGACACAGAGGGCACATCAGTAAATATTAACAATACTTGCGTCACAATTAACCTATTAACTTGTTTTAAAGAAATGTAAGGAATGCGGCAGCGGGAAATTCCGATGGAAGCTCCCGCTGCCGTGAGTTACATAATAAAATTGAAAATCCTTTCCCGCTTTGATTTCTACAGTATGCTTTTCGCTGCGAACGCATTCGGATGTTTTTCAGCTTTGCTTATTTTGTGATTCCAAAATCTTGTGAATTATCCCAGTCTTTGAACTTTCTTGAGATCTTTTTGTTTTGCTGATTTTCCTACTCAAATTGAAATACAGTTATTTTCATCTTTGAAGATTCTATGGAGAATCTTCCTGCCGTGTTCCCCGGCGGATTGTGAATCATATTTATTTATTATCTCTGACTTCTTTGTGAGCTCGTAGCTCTACACCTTGTTTCGAATTTAACTTTTGAGAAATGGTGCACTTCATTGGGAATTCAAGGTTTTTGTTCTGCTGTGATCCTTCGAAAACAAGCTAGCTTTGCGGAAAATCTTCGGAAAATTGCATCTTTTCTTTTAGCTTCTAATCAAGAATTATAGTTATACTTCCCGCTGCTGGTGCCAGAAAATAAATCAAGAAAACAACACAGTACAGTATATGCGTCTCATTTGATTCGAAAAAAAAATCATGAATAACACACACGACGGCAACGAACGCAAGTAAACCCAACTATACATTAAAACCTTATTTGCCTTAGATTTTTATTGTTTTCATTTCTTGAGAATTAAATGAAGGCAGGTGTTCCAAATGAAGATACAGTACTCATGAAACCAGCATATCGTGTAAGTTGTATAAGACATCGGGTAAATAAATAAAAAATCATAATCCATCGCAGGGAACCTTAATCAGCATAAATCAAACACCATGAATTTGAGAATCGAGTGACATCTAGTTTTGTACAGTTTATACACCTGTAAAGAAGCTTTTCCTCACTGACACACAGGGGCTTTTCTCGAAGTCTGATGCGCACCTCATTTTTTTTACATACGAGTTTTATACATACTCGTATGTTCCAGCATCTAATCGAGAATTATACCTATTCTACCCTCTGGTGATGAAAAAAAAATTCTGGGAAACAAAATTATACTGTATATGCCTTTCTTGTAATTTGAACTTGGACGAAATTTCTTGCCTTTCCCCCGAAAATTTAGTTAACTTATACAGTATATAATGGGTGGCATTTTTAATGATAAATTCAAATAATAAATACTAGATTGAAATTCATCATAAATGCAATCAGTATTTCAGGAGCGCTTTGAGAACATCACTGAGACATCCATGTCATCAAAACGCTGCTTCGAAAATTGATACATATAGAAAGATACTAACAGGAGTAAACTCTGACTGATGGGGTCACTGGGCATACTACAGTATATCTTTCAGCAGTCCACCTGCAGTTATAAAAAATAACACGAATACGACGGCAACGAACGCAATTAAACCGAACAACAGTAAATTTCCAGCACTGTCTGCTTTAGATTTTCGATGGTTCGATTTTTGAGAACTGTATTGAATGGAGGTACTTACAGTATTCCAAATAAACAGAAACACGAACGTAGAATACTGCATTTAAAACATATTGGCCAGATTATGAAACGGAGTCATAATCCGACTGTGGAAACCAAGAATCGATCGGACACACACCATGAAGTTGAGCATCGCGTGACATCTAGTGCTGTACATTTTCTACGCCTGTCAAAAAGCTTTTCCCCAATGCCACAGAGGCTTTTCTATGTCGAAACTCGAAATAATTGCGCAATAAAGTGACGTCACCTTTATTAAAGGCTTGAATTTCCTTCGTTTTGCCGAAGCGTCCTTCAAAAATAATGCGTTCATGCGGCAAAAAAAAATATTGAAGATTTTCCGATGTTGGATGGTGGTTGACTAACCACCATCCAAAACTAACTTGAATCATGAGCATACAATCCCGTCAAAATGGAGCCATGATGACGTCAAATCCATCAAAGTTAACCGAGCCGTCAGAGTAAAAGAACAATCCCATAAGATTCGTTTCGATAGCAGCATTTGCGCTCATAGCTCGCAAACTGGACGTAAACACCCGTCCAGGATCGCACCCATTGTACACCTGTACCGAAAAGAAAGAATATATATTGAAATACGTGATGTTTGTCCCAGTGAAATGCGAGCTCTGACATTTCAAGTTAGGGTGCGATATTAAAGAACATGAAAAAATAATCATCACATAGCTCGTGATGTTCTAAAAGCTTCTTGGATTTTTTTTTCGGATTTTTCAGAAAGATTTACTGCACGAAGATAAGTAATGTCTTTCGAGTTATAATACATCCCGAGTTTTCCGCCCATGTCACAAGGTTCTGAAAAATTGTCAGGCTAGCTAAAAAACGAAGCTTTTCAAAACCATCATCCGAAATAGAAAAGATCACGGATGAAAAAACAACAAATTTGATTTTTTTTAGCTACTGGTCTGACAAATATTTACTACTGTAGCCTGTCATATGGGTGTAGAACTTTTGCTGGAACTGGAAAGTATTCATTTATTATCATGGAGTACATTCAAAAACTTGTTTAAAAATCAAAGTAAATCATATACACAATGTCAAGCTTTTTTTGTAGTCACACCAACTAAGATATATATCAGAGGTCGCGTCCAACTGGGACAACCTTCGAGATTTGCATATGCTCGAATCAATTCCTCACATCGAGATAGTCACAGCAAGACTCGACATTCCAGTAAGTCACATTTATGCGAATCTTCATCCCAGTGGGTGCCTTTATGCACCACCAAATTCTTGAATTGTCTGCATAATTCATTCGTGGATTCGGATGTTTCAGAACCGCTGGTCCAGTTCCAATGGAATATTGGTACATACTCGCTGAAATGTTGAAGATTTTGATTAAAAGCGAAGTCACAGTCCTTAGTAAATAAGAGCTCATTTTTCAATTTTTACTTTTATTTGCTACCTGTTGTTATGTGTAGCCAAATAAATCTTTCGTTTTGCATAAATGCGCAAAAGCTTCTACTTTTATAGACACATGCAATTTTAGTCTCATTATGCTGCATTGGATATGGAAAATAAATAAATAGCAACTGCAGGATATACGATATCCACTTCATTTCCCTATCATAGGAAGGCATTCATTGGATACGGAAAATTTTCCAGCCACTTATATCCTCAATTTCAAAAAATCAGTAAAACTGATATAGCTCTAATACTGCAGCTATTTTACTGGTTGCAGCATACAGCCCTGAAAACTTTTCATAATTGCTATTTGAAGTGACTCCATCAAATTTTAAAGTTTCTGTGACATTCTTTGCAAATTTCAAAATTTTCAGCAAAGATAAAAATTCAAAATGTTGAAAATCAATGGCAAATACTAAAAAAACTGAGGTGAGTACAGTTGGTATCATGCAATTTGACCCAAATCTTTTGCCAAACTTGGTCAAATTTCAAAGTGGTCATATTGCCAGGCACATCATGAAATTAAAAAATATCAGTACAAATACTATGCAAGAAAGTGGCCAAAGCAGGTCAAATTGTGGGACAAGGGTCAAGTCACAAGTCAACCTCCCTTTAAATTTGACAGTTGCGTTGCAGGATGGTCAAATTGCAGGAGGTCAAATTGCAAGGTACCACCTGTACATGTTCTTAATCCTTGAAAACTTAAACTCGAAAGGTTGAAGCTGAATACAATTTATACTGTACTTGCATGTATGGAATAAATGTATGACTGTCTATATTCAAGCCTGTATTTTATTGTTTATTTTCAATTAGCTTTTCTATATCCATACTCTTGTGCGATGAAACCAATTCAGACTCAAGGTCTCTTGAACTATATAGGGAATTAAATGAAGGCTAGATTTGATATGGGTCATAAAAGTCTTCTTTCCATGGAAGCTGAAATATAATTCTTGAAAGAAGTGAAAGACCGGGGTTCTTTGTTTGCTGGTAAATCCGGGGCGTTAGGGTATATAACTTACAATCAACACAAGGCAATTCTCCATAAAATAATGTTGTCCCAGGATCGCATTGACATAATGCACTCAGGCATGATGATGACGTGGGACACTGCTGCTGTTCCTTGCAAGACTCATTGAATCCAACAACTGCAAAAAATTTTTTCCGCCATTTTACTTCACATATTGTGCGCATGTTTTTGCTCAGCAATTTTCCGAAAAACCAACGGCGTAAACCGCTATTTCATTTGATCGGCCAGAAAACACGAACAAAAGCCAGAAAAAACATGCTAAATTTCCCTACGATAACTTTCTTCTTTATCTGGATGTTTTTCTGGAGTGCAGTATAAAAATGGCAGAAACAAGAGCAAATAAAAAAGTTGGTCAGCAGCCTGTAAAATGTGGGTATAACATCAAATACTCATATATTGCCAATGTAAATTAACCCTTGGGTGGCAGCGGGTTTAATTCCATCCCGCAGCAGTGCTGGAAAATTTTTACACACTTGTACATTTTTATTTGACCAATAAGGTCACCAAAACAAAGATTTGGCTGAGTAGCCAAAGCACAGAAAAATCTGGGAAAGGTAACCCACCATGTCTGAAATCCCCAATGTTAATCCTACGAAAGGAATGTAAAAAATGCCACACAGCAGCCAAGCTTTCTTTCTGCCAAAAAAGAAAAAATCTGAAATGTTCCAGACTTCGTGTCTTCCGGTCATCCCTGCTTTTTCCTTGTTTATAGGCTTTGGGGCAAAAAATTTCGCAAATAAATTCCAGCACCATGCCCAGGGGTTACAACAATCACTTTTTGCCACAAGCATCTGTATATATTTTAGTGAAATTTTCTAAGAGCAGCAAAAATAGCGGGCAGAAATCTTCTTAACACAATATTTTCTGTAGAAAATTCTTAAAACTTCGCATTAATTTTGCAAGTCAAGAAAGAAACTGAACATACGTGGTAAACACTGCTGTCCATCCATTGCCAGGGTATGAGTAGAAGGACAAGTGCATACGTTGTTCACGCAGCTCATCATGGAACTCGTATTGCATTGTCTCTGAAGTTCACAGGCTTCTCCACCAAAGAGATTCACTGCGAAGGAAATCTCATGAAAAATTTACTTTAAACTGGTTTTCGAAAGAAGTCTTCACGGTGCTTCAGAATACAGTATACTTCTCAGTTTCGAGTAAACCGTGGCTCCTGTTCGCTGCTGCGTCGAAGTCGAGCTCGGTCCGATTTTGCATTCTGCAAACTTGTCAATAGTTCGGAAATAATAGCTGTAAGCCGTGCAACCCGGGTAAGCTTGACACCAACCAGCACAAACATTCTTCGTCAAGGTTTCGTCATTTATCGCCGATCTGCTTTTGTAAATCACTGCCAATTCCTGGTTGAGTCTCGTATTTGAGCTGGAATAACCAGTGGTGATCGCTGCTGCTGTGAACGGCGCGAAAAGTAAAATGAAAGCAGCGGCGTTTGCTGGCAGAAAATAATAAAAATTTCGCTGATGTGAGACCATGGTCTTGAAATTTTTCTGCACGAGTCGCTCCTTTTCAGCCACGTTATTCGAGGTTTAACGAAGAACTGGTCCATCCTTGGGATTTATGACTGAGCAGTGTCCTGATGCTCGTCACGGGAAATTTTTGAAACAAGTATCACGACGTGAGGTAAAAGACAATGAGGTCACGTGCACAATTTCTCACGGAAACTCTGTATTGTTGAGCATGGAAGTGACCTCCTATCAAGAACATATGGGTTGCTAATGCACATATACAATACGAACCCTCATAACTGATGCGTGATTCATCGAAAGTCTATCACTATAACGCAAAATGAAACTATTGCAATGACATGGTCTCCTTTTTTCACCCGATGGCTAATTGAGAAATATTCCCAGATGCTCGTATACAATCGAACTCTTTTTTTTCTCTTTATGAAATAAATTATTTGTGAATGAACATGTGTTCGTTTCTATAGAGAATTTAGTCATGGAAGAGCTGATTCTTGCAATGATGGAAACTTGTCTATAGGCCACGAAAGAATTCGGCGATTTTTGAAGAATATTTTGTGTCAAGTGAATCTTCATGATTGCTTCCAAGGGATGTCTGATCAGTTTTTTTTTTAAACCGGCTTGGAGTAGATTTAAACAAATTATGAAGGCTTTTCAAATTCGGTAAAGCTGCAAGTCCTGTCAGCGAATCTTTCATGCACACATTTCTGAAGTACCGTATAATTTATATCGATTTCACAGAAATTTTCAAATAAAATATGCAGTATATCTTCATACACTGTAATCTACATTTTTCTTCCATGTATTTTAGTATCATAAATACGGGGAGATACAATTGAAATTCTGTTGATTTTATTCGATCGAAAAATCGCGGTAGAAAACTTCCGTTTATTAATGAATAACAGTTGAATACTTGAAAAAATAAAATAAATCTTGACTATATGCCCAATTATACGGAAAGTAATCCATAACATCAAAAAAATGTATATCTCAAAATCATCTATCGATCTTGTCGATTATTTTGAGACATCCAGGAACGTTCTTTGTGCGTCGAATAATTTCCAGTCGATTTATGAAGAAATATTCAAGTCCACCGCTGCAAATTGTAGAGTATAGATTATGGTACAAAAAAATACATGCGCTGTTTCCACCCACTGTTTTCAATGGTGAATAGATAAGTCACACATTATTCATAATATTAGATTCAAGCCGGAGGTCCATTATTGTGTATAACAAAATCAGGTTCTGACGTCGATCGGTTGCCTTGGAGATCAGGTTTACATATATTTTTTTCGCACTTCCTGTGATTTTGACGCACTTATTCACGAAAAGAGAGAGAAAGATTGCGAGTTTACATTGATGAAGGCAGCTCGAAATTGAGTATGTTCCAGTAGAAAAAAAAGTCTGAAAATATGCAATATTATTTAGCAAATCACGGTCACAATTCAATGGTCATCTAGTTTCTAGAAAACGAAACCCTTTTTAAAGTTAGACACATTGTCAGTCTATATTATAGTGGAACGATTTCCGAGCTTGGATTTGTTTCCGAATCATTTTCTTGGCAATAAATTATGCATGTCAAAGCCACGATCAAGCCAGGAACTATTTTATGTCTTAATTAAGTTCGGTGAACCGTTGTCTGAAAACGAGCCCAAGTACAGCATATAATGGAAATACTGTGAAGAGGGACCTCATTTCATTTTGGGATAAAAAATTACGAGTAGTTCGAGTTTTCTGTTCGTATTGATGCAATTGTATGTTTGCTCAGCTATAATGAAGGAAATTTCATTCCGGTGTAATCCGATAATAAATGCTTCAAAGAATAACGAAAAAACTACAGATCCATGGCAGATGAATTCGCTTCTTTGAAAATAGGTAGAATGATAATATAAACGGATAAAATCAGACCACTGCTGTGTGTTAATTTGTTTGAAAAGACATTTATGCGTGTTTATTCCTTCACCACATACAAGTCGTCATTTTTTTATGCGAGAAATAATATATCTATACAGCTCTTTAGTCGTACGTGCATTCAGTTTCAAAAAACAATACCAGCAAAAAAATTAGAAAGGAACCAAGTCGATTTCAAATCCGAGATAATTGCGAGTGTAGTCTGAGAAAAACATGAATGCCATCATGTTCTGCGTGGAAACCACCTTCGTGTCCAAGGCACGATAAGTTTTCAGAAGGGTTTTGTTTGCGTCGCAGCCATCATATGCCTATGAATAAAAACACATCCTAGTAAATTGCAATTTATTGAAGGATGAATTATTAAAAAAAAGTTACGACATCCAAACTTACATCGACGTAGTCACAGCAAGGTTCCACATCCCAGAATGATATATGCCTATGAATAAAAACACATCCTAGTAAATTGCAATTTATTGAAGGATGAATTATTAAAAAAAAGTTACGATATCCAAACTTACATCGACGTAGTCACAGCAAGGTTCCACATCCCAGAATGACGTGTTGGCAGTCAATCTCATCCCTGGCGGGGCTTCGATGCACCACCAAATCAACGAATTTGATGGATAAATCGCCTGAGGGTTCGGATGCCGCAAATAATGCAGCCCAGTGCCAATCGAGTATTGGAACATAGCAGCTAAATACAATGCGAATTAAACTTTCAGGATCCATTTGTCAATTTCATCAAATTTGATCTTACAAGGAACGCAAGGTAAATTTCCGAAGAGCAGGGATGTTTCGCTGTTACATGCGCAAAATCCGGACACGCAACCCGTGGAAACTGGGCATTGCTGAGATTCGATACACGTTCCATTGACGGGCATTCCTTCGGAAATGCATCAGTGAGACGTATTACCTTCGTGAAACACTGCATGGACTTTCATTTCAATGATGGAAATTATAAATTTAATTTTCAAACCGATTTCGAAGTCATATGGAGTCTTTATACTCGAGCTAATTATGGCAAATTAATGCCATGATTTCGCAAGATAAAACTTAGAAAACAGCAATTTTTTTGGGATGCAACATGATTATTTTATTTTCTATCAAATCTGAGTTATACGCGGAATGCTACTAAATTCGTTTGGATTTGCATGGAAAGGATGTTTTTGAAAATGACGCAAAGCTTGAATCAGCTCACAAAAAAATGAAATCTGGGTATTGCGTTTCAGAAATTTGCATTTGTTTTTTGCTTTCGCTGCATCAGCAAATTTTACAAAAATAGCGTACATAAGCTTGGTCTTGTTTTCGTGAGGACCCACTTCGATTTCAGAGTTTGTACCCTATTCACCATTTTCAATTTCCATTATGAGAAATTTTATTTTACTCAGAAACGAATGCCTGATTGAGCGATTTATGTTGTCATTTTTAAGCACATTTTCATTTCCTTCCAATCTGAAGCCATTCTGAGTTAATCGCTGCATATACGACTTTAAAACTGTCCATAAATGGAAATACATCGCCTGACTTCCGTAGCACGCGACCCACTTCGGCAAAAATGCAATCAAATGCACATTATTTTAATGTTGTGCACTTATAATGCTATAACTTACTCAATAAACATTGCGATCCGCTGACAGAAACAACATGAGAAGAAGGACAAGCGCAAACTTTGTTGTCACACGTCATAGACGCGTTTTTGTTGCATTGCCTCTGAAACTCACAAGCTTCTCCTCCAAGGAGATTCACTAAAATACACGCACGGAAGATGTCGATGTCAAAAATGCGTGAATAAACAATCGCCGGAAGCTAGGAACCTTACTACGAAGTTTCGAATAAACCGTTGATCCCGCCAATAACCTGACGGACGTGGAACTCGGTCCGATTTTGCACTCCCTGAATTTATCCGCGGATCGGAAATAGTAGCTGTAAGCGGCGCATCCCGAGAAGGATTGGCACCAACCAGCGCAAACATTCCTCGTCAAACTCGAATCATTCATCGCCGATTTGCTTTTGTAAATTGTGACCAATTCGTAGCCGAACCTCGTGTCGGAGCTCGAATAATCCGTGGTGATGACGGCGGCCGAAAACGGCGCCGAAACGGCGGCCAAAGCCACCAAAAATTCGAAAATCATCCATGTCACCAGCATGGTTTATTTATAGTCTGAGTTCCAAGCTTCTTGGTTGCAGAGTGTACACTGAGCAGCAAGTGTACCGATCCTAATCTATAAACTATATGTGGTTCTCTGTTCCTGGATCAATTAGCCCACGTGTTGAAAAGAAAACAATCGTTCTCGCCTTGTCAGGTGCAACTTTTCCCATTATTGCGCACCACTCGCTCATGGGATCTCAAGTTATGTGACCCGTTGCAATGGAAACGGCTCTCGTGTATGTCTTTGTATGCTTTTTTATGTCTTCAACCCCTTTGTGGGAGGAGTTCATTATTAGGGCAAACGAGTACCTTTGACAAAAGTCTAGTGGCTTCGCATTTGTAACAGAGACCACTACCAGCACTCTAGTATTCCACAAACGAGCGTGTAAGAAGTTTTTGTTGATATAAAAAAGGTTTTGTCTACCCTCTTTAATTTCTGAGTTTCTTTGTTATATATATATATATATAATAAGTCTTTGTATATAAAACTGAGAGTAGGAATTTATACAATCAGGTTAGGTCAATGAGTGAAAAGAAAGGTATAAACAGCAATTGGCCGGTGTGCGACCGGCCAAAAAGATAAGCCCTAGCTTTGTTTTCCACACAAGGTCTTTTCATAGAAATTGTATAAAACACTTTTTCACAAGATTTCAATGATTGCAAATTGGAATAAATGCTTCAGAAACACACACATTGCGTTCAGTTGAGATTTGGTGCACTAGTGTCGAGTCTTGCCCAATTTTCCTCTTTATATACCTCATTTTCTCTTTAGAGAACCTAGGAGGGCGTATATACGCGTTTCTGGCAGAAGGCAGCTGTGGATGCCATATATTCTATTTTAATGTGAAATTTGTGTGTAACGAATTTCCTTCTTTAGAAGTTTGTTGGTGGGAGTTTTGAATTTTTGGTTGGCTTCAGGAGCCTTGTAAAGTTTTAAGGTTTTGTTGACAATGAAATTGGAGCATGGGGCGGAAATCTGTGCCATATGTTGGCCATAAAAAGGTTTCCAAACTTCTTGCCCGTCTGGCAGGCTATTTGTTTCTCCCCAATATGAGGTTTAGTTTGCTGGGTTCTTCTTTTATGTTTTTTGGGCTATCTCTTTGATGGCTTTATTGCCGCCTCTTGAATTTGGCGTGCCAATTCCTGTTTGCGCAAATTACTTAAATTTTCTTTGTCACTTCACTCAGGGGGTATCTTTTGCGGAAAATTCCCACAGAGCGTGCAAGTATTTTTTATCTATCAAACACACCATTTTTTAACTCCAGAAGAGAAACCTTGTCCAGACCAAAATATGTGTTGTAAAAAGTAATGAGAAGCTGTAAATAATTCCTTGATACAATGCTTCATGGGGTTTTCATGAAGCCCAACAACTGGAGAAGGGATAATAAAGACATAGTGGAAGAAACCAAACAGGGGCAATCAGCAGGTTTGGTTCCAAGAACATGTATGTCAGTTACTGCATTTACTTGAGTACCAGGTGCACTTTTTTTTTCTCTAAATCGAGAGGTGAAAACATGGTGCGAGTCATAGAATACATTTTTTAGAAAGTTTAGGGAAAACAACTTGATGTGTAATGGAAATCATTTAAAATACCGTATGCTGAATTCAGGATCAATTAACGTCTAAAATTAATTTTGGGTGGTTTTACTTGTGACACATATTTTGTGTTCAGAGTCTTTGAAAATTGGGTGCGTGTCTTACTGGGGATACAATTTTATAACAAATTTGGACTGAAAAACCCTGGTGTGCATCTTACTTGAGGATTTGAGGGACATGGTACTTAACTTATTGAGTAAACATGCTATTCACAGGGACTCCTTGAATGCATGTTAATAGTTTTTTTCAGAACAATGTATTGTACAATATGATAGCAAAGCAATGACACCATACACAAGGGTATAAAAAACAAATGTGTGCACAAATCCAAAGCCAACAGGTGCAAAACCTGAAGATATGAAAATTTAGTTTAAAAAAGAGAGCAGTATTCAGCTCACGATGAAGTTTGTGCAACAACCGCTTTTAAATCAGAATAAAAGTTGAGAGGAGGAAGTCAGATGCTTCAAATTATTTAAAAGATTCATGAACCATGATTCATGATGGATCGATTATGTGCGCCCTGATGAAAAATTTTGGCTGAAAAAATCTGCACCTTTCCAGTTTTACCCCTCATTGACTCAAATAAGCTTCCATTAACCGCATGGTTGCCCTTTAATGAAGAGGGAATTATTCTAGTGCTAGAATACTATCTAGCTGTGCATGGAATAATCTGGCGAATGCTGTATAAACATCATAATTCATCATCTTTGTGGAGAGGTCACTATAAAGAAAATGGGATGAACCATAATGAAACATAACTTTTAAAGTTATATAATTGCAACTGTTGTTCAGTATCATCTCAGCTACCCAAACCTTGAACGAATAAAGCGACTGAAATAACCACAATTCCCACTTGTGAAATTTATTTTTTCCGGTTTTCATCATGGCCAAAAGCGACGTCTGGTGAACTATTACGTCTGAAACGTGGAGCTCACTTTCAAAGAGTGATTTTATCTCTTCCTTTTTTTATTGCCTTTCCTGCCCCTTCATTTCTTATTCAATTCTAATTTGTTCGCAAATGGCACTGCTGCAGTATTTAAATCTGTGGTTCAGTAAAAAGTTATGAGCCTTTTCTGTTTATTGCCTAAACACAATTTAATATCCTGTTTGCGGTACTCATTCAGTAGCTGAATTCAGAACCATTTGCACTTTTATTGGAAGATATACATCCCCAAGCTTGCCTGAATTTTCACAGAACTTATTGCTACCTCAAACCTCAAAGTCAAAGACCGCCCTATGTTAAATTAATTCCTGCTGTCCATATCCGGAATCCCTTAAAAAGAACATTCCAGTAAAAATCTTTATACTCTAACCTGATGGTTTTCTCTTCTTAAACCTCTATAATTCAAATTTTGAGGGCTCATGTTGGGTGCCAGCAAGGAACTTGAAGATCAATGGAAATGTGACTAGATACTTTTCAAATGAAAGTGAGAGAATAATTTGGCAAATGTAAATCTTCTTTATAGTTCAGCATTGTGTCAACTCATTTATGCAGCAATTTCGAGACCCCAATGTTTTAAAATTTAATCCCTGCATAGTTTTAACACATTTTTCACAAAATAAATATAGCTTTCCTAACTGAAATATGCCATGCATGTTTTGGGGCACAACCTCTGAGTTTGAATTGAAGAGTTTCTATTGTGATAACTGAAGTGATACCCCTCAACATACCTTATTTACCGTACTTAGTTATCATGTGCCTTCAAGTGAAACCCACATTAGGAGTTCTCACTCAACGTTTATTATAAAATTTTATTCCTCTATAAGAAATGCATACCATTTAAGTGGCTTTAAAACTGAAATATTTATAAAATTTTAGTCCTAAATTCAACTCATTTTGAATTACTGTATTTCGAACACAATACTGTACGTTTTTCTGGTAAAATGGTAAGAAATTGCTTATGGATTCAAATATAATGCACGCCTAAACTTCTGCAACATAAAATAAAGTATATTACCCACCTCTGATGGGCACTACCTCTTCCTCTCAATGTTGAGAGAAATAAGGTGCGCTTCGTACTTGAGCAAATAAAGTATGCACTAATTTACCCAAAGTTTAGTTTGAACATTTACTGTATATGGCTTTCTCTTGTTTGAAAGTCAGCCTCACGGATGGATTTATGATCCTATCCTAAAAAATAAATTTTGAAAGCCCGTTGCTACCCACCTCTGCTACAGGTCTTCGTGAATAATTTTCAGAAAAGCCTTCGCACACGCAAGGCAAGTCCCGTGGCGACATCAGACGATGAGGAAAGACCCGGCCCTCGGGGCAATGGTTCGAGCCCGTCGCGGGAACCAGATATCCCAGCTCCCTCTCCAGCCTCCCAGCTGGGAGTTTGCGCCTTGGCCTCCACCAGCATCTGCACCCATGCACTTCCTGCTTCTCGAATCAGAGCCAGGGGTTTACTTATCCCGAGGCCCTGGATTCCGAGGCGATGGAACCCGTTCGCCTCCAAGGGAGTGCCCTTTGTGATGTGGATAAGTGCTGCTTGGGTTCCACGCGCGATTTGCCTTTATTACGGTACTCTCACTTGCTGTCTCATTACTTACTTCTCCGCCGTCTGAATAATAATGATCCTATATCCCTCATTTATCCTTCCAAAAAGCAAAACAAGAAGGAAAACCTGCCCATTGAATAATTTTCCCCTAAAATTAAAAAAAAATGCGGAACGCACCTTGAACCTTGAAAGATTTCTCACGACAAATGTATCACTCCACGCCAATGATTCGTGTCATTGATGAAATGCTTCTTTGGTTATTAAAAAAGAAAATTCATACTCGACTTGGAAAATGGAATCAAAGGTGCTCCCAGTGACGATTGACGGGATCAAATATGACCTTCTTCAACCCGAGGACCAAGAAGTAGCTGCTGACCTCGTTGTAAATGACTTTTGCCTTACCGAGCCGTGTTCAAGGTGAGTGGTGTCAATTTCAATTTTTTTTTTACCAATTACAGAACTGAAATTAATGCATGAAGAACAAAACATGATGGAGGAAAATGCCGTAAATAAAAAAAAAACACTTGGAGTAAATGTATGCCCTCTTCGAACGTTTGAATGAATTATCTTCAGGCTTGTCTATAATAAAGATTTTTTTTGGCACCCTGTTGGCTCATACCTTTTTTTTCACGGGTAATTATAATGTTCTAGAAGATTAACCAAATCAAGCTGATAGGATTTCCAATACTGTAAACTTAAATACTGTGTATCAAACGCTAAAATTTCTGAAAAGTTGAATTTGGTTTCAAAAAAATTATTTTCCGCGTTATTTTTTAAAAGTGAATATTATAATTATCCTTATTGTCATTTCAACTAAGAGCAAAAGCTGCGAAATTCTGGGCTTCAATAATTAAAAATTGAATAATCGATTATTTCGACGGAAGACGTCAGAACCTTTATTTTTGTTGACCGTTTTTTTTAAAATGATTATAGACATATTAAAAGCCAGTGTTTAAATTTCAAAAGTGTGTTCTGTCTACGTTTTATAAACCATGCAATTAGTGAATTACGCAACGCAAGTTCAGCAAAATTATCTCGCATGAATAAAGAAACAAACAGAAAACAGCTCCCGCGGTCTCATTATGTGGTCATATTTTGCTATGAAGGTCACTAGGAATACAGCCCGAGGAGTCGTTGCCAATAGTGAAGTTGATCTGCGCCCGAGGCATTGCGGATCGCGTCAGTTTGAAGGCCGAGGACGCCACGACCGGCGAATTGGTCGGATTGCGAGTATCTCTGCTCCGGCGCCGGGACGCCAAGGGCGCCGACGAGGCGGAATTCCGCGACTGCTTGCAGCAAGTTCCGACTCGGCTGCACCCGTTTGCTGATTTCATTGCGAATCACAGCGGCGGCGAGGCGGCGGCTGACATTTTTGGCACATACGGTGTCGATCAATACGTCGAGTTTTTCCTCGTCAACGTGCATCAGGCTTATCGGTAAGTTAATCACGTCGTCGTCAAGGCCTTTTTTATTTATAGTATGGAGTGCAGTTGTTAATATTCCTACAATTATTTTGAGAGGAACATAAAATAAATCGATATCCAGACAATTTCAAAATCGAGGAGCTGTGTGTACATAATGAATGTTGGTAAAAAAAAGTTGACCAATTTTCAAGCTGCGAATAATTAAAACTCACGAATATATTTTTTTTAAAACACTGTAAATGAAGACGAAGTAATGTCAGAGAAGATTTGGAGGTCGATGACAAAAGATTACAATAACACGCTCAGGCATTTTTTCAAGATTGTTTTCAAGGTTTTGTCGCATAAAATTTAAAATTATAATAAATGAGCTGAACTTTCAACGAGAATATAAAATTAGACCAATGTTTCAAAATGTTGACAAGACACAAATGAATATCAATTTGAAGCTCGTTACTAAATTTTTGCAAGTTACTTCTGCAATTTCGGCCAGTGAAAAAAATTGCTTATTATCTAAAGACAATGTCTACAAAACATTACAGTACTTTGATATATTGTACTGTATTACAGACACAGTGTCATTAAAATGATAAAAAAAACTTCAAAAACTTGGACCCTGAAATCATTAAATCTTGGAAAATGTAAGCGATAACAAAACAAAACTGGAAGCGGGCGCCGAGGTTATTTGAGTAACAGGTGTCACCAAAGACAAATTGAGAAAGCTGTAAAATAAATTGGAACACAAACAATAAAAATTCTTTACTAAGGAGTTATTTTAAATTTGTTGAAATTTTTATCCGTGAAAGCTAGCATACGAACAAAGAAATAATTTCCATGATGCTATCTGTTCACTTTTCACCATGGTGCCTTTGTCCACTTTTCACGGATCGTTTTAATCAATATTTTCTCGCCGTGTTCTCGACAGAGGAAAACAAATTGCACAAAGGATACTGCAACTTTGCTATGACCTTTACCGCGAAATGGGCGTTCACATCGTCAAAGTTTTGGCAACTAATCCAAGAACAAATCACATTTTCCGCAAGCAAGGCTTCCAGGAAATCTCAAACTACCCCGTGATGAATTTCATGCACGATGGAAGACGATATTTTGAAAACATGGAAGAGACGGAGAATGCTTTCACCTTTGTCAAGGACCTGAGGAAATGACAAGAAAATTTTCCTGGGTGAAGTTGCCAATAAAACGAACACAAACTGCAATTCAAAACGGCGCTGCTTGAGCTTTCCGATGCCGTAGGAATTTATTGTAACAAACTGCGTACGTAAAAAAAATTTGCAAGAAAATTCCCGTCAACAATTGATAAAATGAACAAGACTTCATATCATGTCACGAGGAAAAATTACGGATGTCACACGACGGTTAAAAAATTCATTTGAAAAAGTGAATGCGTAACACTGCCTCAGAACAATGAATATTTTATCAATTTTCTACTGGCGAAGCGAGACACAAATTGCAAAACCAGCGCTTTCAGTCAATCTAATCAAAAATTATTGTGTGTCCATTATTCTGCTTGTTGTTAGATCGTATTGTATCTCCATTCAGAAGTCGAGCGACAGAAATGAAGACATCATTGAATTGAATTCCAGCGATGTATTTTATTCTTTGAAAAAGAGCAGTCGTGCGTCGCGTCGAGTTGCTGTGTTATTCAATTTCATGCGCAACAGACATAATGAATTTAATGACATACAAGGGTGAGGGCTGACACGCGTATGTCAGTTCAAGCACCAAGTAAACACTCACTTATATAATCCATGTCAAACATAATTGTTTCCAGTCAGAATTGTTTATATAATGTACTTCAGAAGTGTTATCATGACGTGACGTCAGTTTGAGCGTCGTCGGTTTTGACGCGGCATCTCTTGCCAAAGTTAATATTTTTACCATAAAAATCATTCGAACAGGTCGGCGTAGTATATTTAGATTCGAGAAATGACGCTAGAATCCGAAAAAGAATATGCAGATAAAAATCATTTTTTGCAGAAAGAGGACATGCAGTGAAAATGTTTTTCACCCAAAGTTTTCCGACAGAAATATAAATTCGCTTTAGCAAAAATACGCTTGGAATCTACACAGCACACAGAAACTTTAAAAATTTAGCGTAAATAATGACCAATTGCGTTTTTTATTGTTGAAAATCACGATGCATCTTCTGCCAAAGTTGGAATTTCGATCCTGAAAAATTCCATCAACATGCGTTGAATGTTCAGATTCGAAAAGCGACTGTCAAGCTTCAAATGTGTAAAATGAACGAGATTCTGCAGTAGGAAAACATGTTTCTTTCCGAAATTCACCAATAGAAACCTATTTTGGCAAAAATGAACTTGGCCTATAAATATAGACACCTCCCACAGGCACCTAAAAACTTGATTGAAATGACCAACTAGGGCAACTACTCATTTATTTATTCGGCGAAAATCACAAATAATAGGAAAAAGGGATTTGCAATTTTCAATTCAAGCAACAAATAAATAACTCAGAGAGGGCAAATTGATGAACGGTCATCCCGTTTCCGTGCCCGGAAGTGTTTTTCTTCATTTTCTTCTTTTTTCTTTCCACAATATAAGAAAAAATACAGGTTTTGAGCGTTCTTTTGAATCATATTCTGTGCCGTATTTGAGATTCCATTGATGGTTTCAGTTCAAATACCAGCAGGTTACTACAAATAAGGCTGAAAGCATTGGTTTGGAACGAATTCCCATTTCCGCATTCATATATGCGTGTATATGGGGGAAAGCGTGTCATTTTGAAAACCTTGCATCCATCAACACGGATAACATATTTCTTGGTGTGAGTCACCAGCCACTGTGAATAAGTACAGTACTATATAAGAACTGGTTCCTGTCTGCTCTTTTCAGCCGCGTGATGAAAACACTGCCCGCAATCAGTTCCTTATACTGTACTGTACGATACTGTACAGTGAATAAGAAGAAGAAGAAGAAGAAGAAGGAAAGAAAAGGAGTCTCAGGGAAGCAGATAACGTATCATACACACGTATAAGGGATGCCATAAGACAGACACTGGCTGGGTTTTGTACAGTTGCAGGTCGTCGCACTTCTGCTGCTCCCCCCCTGCATGTTCGATCCAAGGTTGCTGGAGAGCCGAGTTTCTGGCTTTGTTGCTGATCCCAGTCAGCTTCTCGGCTCTCGGTCGAATACAACTCACTTTTTTTCCATCCCGTAAATGACTTGTTTGATTTGAATGTTGCTCCATGATTTACACGACTCATGTTGGAATTTTTCGATGAATATCACTGCGCGAGACGACCCGTAGGAAAATTATTAGCTTGTAATCGTGCCAATTATATTTCTAATATTGTATGACGAAGAAGAAGACAACTGGTGAAAGTGACGGAACCCACGCCGGAGTTCCGGATTTTGAATGAATGTGGATTAAAAGCCTCCAATCATTGAACAATCTCTCAAGATAATTCTATATAAGGGATGATGCATACATTTGCTGTTTTCCCTTTAAAATCCCCTGACGCGAGAAAATATATATTGTATATGAAATTTATATGAATTTGATTCACTGAATTCTATCTCATTAAATTTTCTCTGCCATATCATGCAATGTGGCGAGCAATTGACAAAGTATGTGGTATTTTTTTGAGAGCGGGATTTTTCAATTTCTTAAATACAAGGACCTTAATGTAATTTGATTTCGAATGCTGCTCATTTTTTTATCTGGAATATTTTGCTCTGCATGGTTTCTCAAAATTCGAAGTTTAACAGTTTAAGAATTGCGGGGTTGTTACAAAGTAGTTACTCCAAGGTTTTTTAACCGATCTTTCACTTCTTTCTGTCTAGAATGTTCTAGCCTTCGTATATTATAGTATATTAAAGTTCAACTTAAATTTAATGTAAGTTCTTATGTAAAAAACATGAAAAATAAAAAATTAAAATCCATGGGGATTCAAAATTTTGCTGTCTTGAGGAATCGATCTCTCTTATGTTCACTATAATCATAAGAGGCAGGATAAGATGAAAAAGTCACGCATCATTCAAAAAGCCCATAAGGGATAGAATGAAATATTCCTGAAAAATTAATTTAGCTCTCATCTAATTTAAATTTGAATTATTCAATTTCTATTGTTGGAAACTTTAACATAAAGTGCGCTATTTTTTAGAAAACAATAACAACTGAAAAATGCTGGAAAAAGAGAAAAACTTTAATTCGAAAGCAATCAACTCCTATTTGAAAGTTTAATCTATTTCCAGTCTTCAATAATCCCAAGAATTGTCTTGCTTGAACTTTATTGTGTAGCGATTGTGATTGGGGTGCGATAATAACTGGCAGTGGAAAATTGTACAGTGAAAAAAATTGCTTTCCATCATACTAAATATTTGAAAATGTCTTAGTGAATGTATTTATGCGTTGACTAAAATTTTCTCTCCACTTTCGAAGATCTGGGGAAAATGGGATGTACACCAAAGGTGATCGACGGTATTGAGTACGATGTCGCGACGGACGAAGATGCGCAAGAAATCGCAGAACTTTTTATCAGCGACTTCTGTCTCACCGAGCCACTGAACAAAGCATTGAAGGTAAATTTAATTTTTCAGGAATATTTCATTCTATCCCTTATGGGCTTTTTGAATGATGCGTGACTTTTTCATCTTATCCTGCCTCTTATGATTATAGTGAACATAAGAGAGATCGATTCGTCAAGACAGCAACATTTTGAATCCCCATGGATTTTAATTTTTTATTTTTCATGAAAAAATGTATTCTTGAATGTAATTTAAATTCAACTTGAAATTATATGATATTATATGCTTCCGATCTTGTAAGATCTGTCTTTCTTCACTTTCTAGCCAATTTTTTGGAACCTCATTGATGAAACATAGAAGTGAAATACAAATGAAATAGATGTGCACCACGTTTAAGGTTATTTTTTGCTTCTTGAAAACGTGGTTTTTTAGATTAATTTTTTAATCTACTAAATTTTTTTTAGGTGAAACCGTTTGAAGCTCGGCCTCCGGTGGAATTTGGAGTGAAGCATTTGATCAAAGATGGACTAAGCGTGAAGGCAACAGATTTATCAACTGGAAAAATTGTTGCTGGTCGTTTGTCAATGGTTGTTGATCCTGCCAAAAAGGACGAAGATGCAGCAATGATGGAGGAGATTTTTCGCATTGTCCCAGAGCGTCTTCATCCCCTTGTCAACTTTGTAACTGAAGTTGCCAGCGCAGAAATGCCAGACGTATTTGAAAAATTTGGAGTTGACAAGTACGTCGAATTTTTGGCTGTGAACGTGAACGTCGACTACAGGTGAGATTCACCAAGTTCTCACCATAAGTAATTAGGTCCATTAATCAACGGCAGAAATGGGTTGCGAAATTAATGATCAGCAATTTTGTTACAAGTCATTCAAAACTACTTAAACCAAGATATCTTGGGTATAATAGAATTTCTCCGAAACAGCAACATGAAGGCAACTAATTTTGCTTCAGTAATAAAATTCTGCAGACAAAGGGAATGTGGTTAGAAGAGGGATTCAATAGACCTCAATTGGGTTGGAAATGTATAACAACAAAATGATAAAAGCTTCTCAAAACAGGTCCGTTTGCTTCAAAATGAGTACAGCAAAAATCTAAATTTTTTGTTACATATTGGCACGATTTTAATCATAGATTCATGAGATATGCGATTATAACTATTGGATCGATGTTCAAGCTGCGTATATTGAATGTTTTCATGTTTTGCTGGTTGTACCAGAATACAGTATGCATCTTGATTTTCAATTGGTGAATTTTTGGCGTGATTTCGTTTATCGTATCGCATAATTTACAGTATTCAGCTGTTCATCTTCTTCTCCACCATTTCATTGCCTATGGGGTTTTTTGAAACCTAGTTTTATCTATGATTTTTTCGAAATTTTCCCTGTTCGATGCTGTAAAAGTCTCGAATATTCCATCAATTTTGTTGCTTCCGATTTTGCATTTCATGAAACATTCTGCCAGCCATTTTGAGTCGACAATTTTGATCGGCTGTGTTGCTTGCAGAGCTCTGTTACTCATGGTGGCATCAGGTCAAATCAGTTCTATCCAGATTCTGAGTTTTTTTTAAATTTTATTTAACTAGATATTGTTCACTGTCAATATAGCTACAATATTTATGAAAATCCTCGCTGGAAATACCGTTTCGATGAAATCCTGGTTGCTTCCATACTTTACAAATAATAAGGTCCAAAAAGATAACCGAAAACCGTGGAAACTCACCAAGTGTGAGTGCTGTTTGTTGGTTCAGACTATCAGAGGAATGCATTCTTTACTGGTGTTTATGTTGCTGTTGCCTTGGTAATTATCCAAGAATGAATCGACTTGCGCTCGGAAAAGCAATGGATCTTTTTTCACCATAAGAAGGTCAATGCTACTTCACGAACATTCAGAAAAGCGAACGTTTTTATTGTTTCCAGGGGCAAGAGAATTGCACAAAACATCCTAAACATTGCCTATGACGTCTGCCGTCACAATGGATTCGATGTTGTTAAAGTTCTGGCAACAAATCCAAGAACTGCACACATCTTCAAGAAACAAGGATTCGAACAAGTCGCGAGTTACAAGGTTCTGGACTACATCCATGAGGAAAAATCTTACTTCGAAGGCATCGAAGAACTTGAATTTGCAAATACTTTCCTGAGAGACCTGCGAGCTGTTGAATGAGTCATTCAGGACATCGAATTACTGTATATACTGTATTTCAGCAGCAATAAGATGGTTACAAGCATTTGATAAAGCTGGGGAACGTTGAGCGGTCTTCCGGGTCAAGATTGGATATGAATTTTTACGAGCGTCATCTATGTTTTCAAATATGGCATTGATGCTTTGTTCTTCACTTTGGACGGCAGATGTCATGAAATGCACAACCTGGTAGCTCAATCACGCATCGCTTATGTGAAGGCGTTTCATTTTGCAGCATATTGCTGCTTTGATTTTTTTCACGGCATCAGCAAAAAACTAAATTTTCGATTCATTTTCATCCAAATTCAACCATTGTGAAGGTAAAAGAGATGGCACTAATTTCTCAGACTCACCTGGCAATTATTGTCATCGTAATCAGAGATAGACAACAAATTTATTTACTCCAAGTCTAAGAAATGAAAAAAATCCTTATGCATTGGATCTGACATTATTTTCGCCCTTTAATCCGAAATGAGAAAAGTAGCTTAGAGCCGCTCATCTCATATCCGAAATTGAGTTATAGGTAAATTGCGAATGAGCATCAAATCTAACATATATGCTTTTCAAAAATTTAAAGAAATCTACATGCTTTGTATGAAATCACATTCTAGTTGGATTTACACATTCTTTATATTGTCCTGTTGACTAGACAATAAATGTTCTCCTGCAAAACGCATGAAAATGAAAGATGCATTACTTAATAAAAATTGGCTGCCGTAAAAATCATTCATTTTCAACGTAATTGATTTCTATTCAACTTTTGGACAAGGTTCAGATGTAATACACGCAGAAAATAGACTGCGCTACAATTCGGTTTATAGTCACGCGTAAGAGATGAAGTTATTCTGGAAAAAATAAATTTTGAATTTTTTTGGGTGAAAATCAAGGTCGTCATGTGGCTTTTCTTGGCCATGACCGTTTCTATAGAAACATCAGTTGTGGTCGAATGATTCTCGCAAATCGTATAAAAATGGCTCAAAATCAAACTCCAAAAATGGGGATTTCATCATATCACTCCTGGTAAATGAGCTTGCACATAAAACAAAAATTCAGTTGGCAATCAAAAGGTTAAAACTGAAGCCTCTAAAATGCAGCCCATATTATATGTACAGTATAACTATTGTGTATGCGCTTTGGGGTTTTTGAGACCCCCCGTTAACGATGACAGCCCCGTTTCTCCTCCTCGTTAACGACATCCAATTTTTGTCTTCATTATTCATCAAATAAACCTGTCGACCAGAAAGGACCACAATAAAGCCATCACCGATGTAAGAAGTGGTGTGCATGGAAATAGAGACGAGTTTGCCACAAGATCGAATCCCTGACGGAAGAAGAAGCCTGGCAATCACCGGGGCAAACATGCCCGTGGCTCAATTTTCTCGCCCACCCATTATATTTGGTCCATGGTTCCAGGGATCGAGTGTTGCCTGTGTGCTTTTGTGTCGCTCACGACGACGTGATCGACGATGTCGACTACGACGATGACGACGACGACGACGACGGCTACACATCGACCGAACTTCTTGTTCCACGATGAACAGGAAAAAACTTATTTCCTGGAAAACCGCATTTGCCTTTGATCTTCGCACAGAAACAGTTCGGTTCACTGACTAACGATAAAAGAAACCCAACCTCATCTACTTCCGGAGAAAAAGAAAATAAGGCTCAAAGCTTGACCCTCTTTGGAAAAAAGGATCACCATGATTCATGTTTACATTCCGACTTTTGAACCTTACGAACAACCTGCGCGTCGTCATCATTCATTTAATAAAAAGATAATAACCTGGGATATTTTCAATATGGCTAAAGATTAGCCTATCCCTCTTATTTTCGGACTCATTAAGTGTACGGAAACAGAAAATCACGGTCTAATTGTGATACGATAAAAAATACGCTTCAACGAACCATCATCCTGAACTTAAAATCAATAGCGAGGGAGTTAAATGGAATCCCAGCAATGTTTATTTGAGAAACATTTGTAAACGTTTTCTCACGCATCTCTCATGTATCTTCTTTAATCTGCACATTTCTTATGAAAATTATCAACTAACTAATCATTCAAAAATATAATTTCAACGACGTGTACAAGATCGAATTAAATTTTTGCTTAGAATTTTAGAATTGTCCTTTGTTTCTGAGTTTCTTATAGGCCTAAAAATTAGCAAGATACATCATGCGTCGACATTCAAATGCGGTGAAAAATGGCTATTGATTTGTTCAAAATCTTGACATTTTCTGGATTCCCTTTTTACTCCTCAGCGAAGACCATAATCTAGAAACTTCTTCCTTTCAAACAAAAACAATGAAATCCACGATCTTTGCAACGTCTACGACTCCGTTCATGAATTTTAATCACTCTCGGGACCACGGCCGGAACCAAAAAAGTAAAACAAAAAACAGAGGATTGAGTCTGAATAATAATCAACACCACGTGCTGAGCCTAGGCTTCTGTCAGTGAGAGAAGATGAAAGACCGAATTAGATGATCGATTTGAATGAATTCATTGACTGTTCTTCACGTAGGCGGAGGGACAATCAAGCCGCTGTGCTTCCGAAAATTTCAAAGGGGATGACGTTGAAGCAGATTGAATTGAATTGTTGGTATTCTTCTCATGTAAATCTCATGCTTCAATGAAATTTTCTGTCATTTTTTTTCTTCAAAAAGTGATTCCTTCGAATGGTGATCTAAAATCTAGAGCAATAATCTTTCAAAGTCTTCGGTCTCTTCCCATCACAAGCAATAATGCATGATTTTTTCCAACACCGAAAATATTCCAGAGAAGTTTTTGAAGTTTGTCTCGACGTCTCGAGCGGAAAATGAGCGGAAAAATCGAATTCATCAGGAAATGTTGCAATGTAAAATTTTATTGCGTATTATTGATCAGTTTCTCGATAAATATGAAGAACTTGGAACGCGTCCTTCTTATTTCAAGAAGGTTTTGTATTGTATATTTCAACCTGAAAAATGTTGGAACAGATGTCTGGGATGATTCAGGTCTCATTTTCTTCATAGTAACATGTCAGGAATCAAAACTGAAGTCAGTTCGTTTCGAATCAAGCACCTGGAACTGACAGATATGTTTTCTGGATGACGACAAATTTGACTTCAAAGACTCCAAAATGATCTCGCTATATCAGTTTCAGATGAGCCATTCATGAAATCAAGCACATGTCAGGATCCTTTCCGTTTTTCAAAACGATGCTTTTGCGAGTTCGTCTAACGTTGTGATGTATATAAAGTTTTGCTCGTGCTAAAAAATTCGTTCAAAATAGTTCTTTAAAATGGGAAGTTCACCTCCGCTAAAGCTTTATAATATCGCGTCGGATCGAAAACCACGTTCGCCTCAAATTGAATCACCCAACTTCGGCACCATTTTATGAAAATACCCCCAACGTACCAGAGAAGCAACCCCGGGCGAACAAGTCCCTGAATGCTCACGCTTGTATATTAAGCATGCATTGGCTCTGGAAATTGCCTCGAGGTTAACACGTGTGATCCATTATTTTTTAGGTAGCCCTCGATGGCTCTCTAGCCCGATTTTCTCTCTCCATCCTTCCTACGTGATTCTGGTATTTCTGACAGTATTTCTGACGCATGCATAATACGCCCGTCACGCGTTCTGTCTCGCGAACGCGTGTGTGTATGAAGTCTTATTTTTGGGCCAGCCAGCGAGTCGTATAACCTGCTGGCTGACCACCTGGTTAAAACCGCAATGCTGTATTCTGTCCATTAGCATTCGTGCCCGAGCACTCGCGACTGGTTGTTGTTGTGCGCTGTCANCGAAAAGATCGAACCGTACGAGGAAGAAAGAATGGCAGAAATCACTCAAGTAGTTATCTGCTGAAATTGTTTTGTGAATCATTCGAGAAATTTAATATATTTTTAATCACGAAAAGTAGAGTCGTACTGCGAAAAAATACAGTTTGTCCTGGAAAGCCAAGTGGTCCCAATGTTTATCAAAAGTATGAAGACTCAGATAAGGAAGGAAGATAACGGAAGAAATTCTTAACTGTAACCTGTTGACATTTTTATTTTTCGATAAATTTTGAATATCTCGAATTAGAAAAAATTGAATCCTAATGCGAAAAATATGCAATAGGTCCTGGAAAATGTGTGAAATTATTCAGATGATGAAGAGCATATGAGTTGATTCTGCAATAAACTTACCACTGCGTTACAAAATAAACGGAATCAATTCCTTTCGAGCCAGATTTCCTGCACCACTTTTATTCCCTCGTCTCAAATAATTTTCCTCACAAATCAGAGGATTATACTGCAAAATATTGCCACTCTATAGGTGGAGAATATTGCGTCGTAAATAGTTTGTGGGACAAGTCATCTTGCCAGGAACAGGCCGGGGAACTAATGCGAATTTATTAGCACGAGACAGAAGAACTTTTCTCGCCAAGGGTCCCACATTTCATCCCGAAAGTTCACCAGTGGCTTTGGTCCATGAAACGACCGCTTTTCACAGAAATGTTCAGCAATTTTCTTCTCCCGAAAAAAATCATAAAGTTTGCTCGATTTTCTTGCACATATGCGTTTGATTTTTATCGGTATTTAGCGAAAGAAACTTACTAATCACAATTATTTTTTAAACCAAAGAAACTTCTAACGCAAAATTTTCAGCAATTCGCATACTCCGTTAAAAACAACTATGCAGTTTTCCCCATTTTCTCGTACATCTGCGTTCGATTGTTATCGAAGTGTTTAGCGAAAGAAACGTATAGTGATCGCAATTTTTTGAAATTAACGAAAATTTAACCGAAAAGTTCAGCAATTCGCTTCCTCCGAAAGACATGCATTTTTTTTCCAATTTTCTCGCACATCCGGTATTGATTTTTATCAAGTCGTTTCGCGAAAGAAATTCTGAAAACGCGGATGCGATGCTTTGCATTGATCGCAAGTTTTTGAAATCATTTTTTTTTCAGGCGGGAAATCGAACGACGTTTTCGTCGGAAACCCGCCAGTTTCCACTGAATCATTTCAGCCTTTCTTAACATCATCCGATTGATCTCCGAATAAAACAGTGCCAGCACAAATATAAGTTCCATCCCAGAGAACCGGTAAGTTTTCCGAAAAGTTGAACTTCTGCCTCATTTGCTGAGCGGAATTTCAATACGAGCATCTTGAGCTTTTAAACGATGATGAATCAAAGCCAAAGTATTTTTGCACCTTGTTTCCCGTGGTTAGCAGACACGCGAAGTCGTAATCAAAGTCACTCAAAGGAGCTGAAAATTGCAGTGTATGCCTTTGCCGTTTTCCAGACACGCGTTTTCGGGGATATTTGATCACAGCCGCTTTTTCTCGGCTATAAAAGACCGATGCCCGCCTGAAAGATGAGCCGTCTTTCGAAGATTGATCACGTTTCCCAACAGATGGATGCTTTGAAAACAAGCTTCTACAAATACAAAGAAGGGTGGTTAATACGTTCTAGAACCTGCTGTAATCATATGGAGCCAATATTTTCGCATACGCTTTCAACAGCGTTCCTTTTAATCCATGCGCAATTGAGTGCCGCTCGGAACAGGTTACGCAAATTACGTTGAAATTTTCAATAAATTATCGCATATTACTTTCAAGCTGGATGGGAAACACATTTTTTTTAAATTGAACGATAAATTTCTACCCCACTGATAATGAGAGTAAGTGCCCATCAGTTTTTTCCAAGGTAGTGGTCTAAAAATTATTCGACACCGCTTTTAAATCAGAAAACGGCCCAATATTTAACAAGAATCGTCCTGTTGATCTTATATTTTATGATTTCTAAATTTCTAAAAATACCCCATGCCCACAGAGTTCATTTCTTAATCTGCTTCCAAAATTGAAGCAGATTGAACTTCACTTTCACGGTGTAGGTGCATTATTTGTTTGAAATGGAAATCTTTAACAAAAAAAATTGCATATTTTTTGACCACCCGGTATCATGCTTTGGGTGCGCACATTTATGTCCACGTGGAAATCGTCGACTTCCCCAAGTGCACCCGTATCGCAGTTAAATGGACTTTTAAGTGTATTCAAGGTTGCCAGGGCCTTTGGGGAAATTCTTAAATTCGTTTTCCACATCATATCATGGTTGAAACGTTTCCTCTTAACTTTGCAAAGGATGCTTATTGCCTTTTTGCGTATCTAGGCAAAATTTCCCGATTTAATCCACGTGCGAAAAGAACAGGTAAAATGGATTGAATCTCACATTTTTAGGCAAAGGCTAATCCGCGCGTTGATGGCTTATTCATGCGCTTTTTGCATTTCTAAGTCAATAATTGAAAATGCTCATTGAGAAAGATATTCAAAATATTTTCAACTGAACAAAGTAAGCTGAAACTGTGAGAAACCACTCATGAAATATTTTGCGGCTGAAATTTTTTTTCCATAGTCATCTGGTTATAGCTTGATATTGATGGAAACAATATTTCGCGAAAATCGATTTCCGGTGGAAATTTTTATTTATTTCTGTATGATAATGCATTTTGCTTAATTGCCTTCGTGATCTCTGCAAAACGGGCATACATTCTATATATATAGTTGAAATGTGCTTCTAGCATTCTGTATTTTGAAGAAGCGGACCCGTTTTTTTTATCTTATTGCGGAAAATTTTCTGAAGGTTGAATATTTTGATTAAAGCTAGGTGGATGTTCGATGGGTCGAAGTTTTATATTCGTGTGGAAAGGGATATCCCAATGCATAACAGATTTTGTATTTCATGATCGAATATCAGTGTACTGAGCCAGACGAGCTACAGTAGAATCATATTAAAATGAATCTGGTTATACTTAATAAATAATTACAACAAAGTTAACAAAGTTGTTTATTTAGGGCCCTGCTAAATATTCCCTGTGCTAAATCAGTTACTTTAGAACAAATTAGTAGTCTCAAGGAAGCAATTTTTTACTGGTCCTACAGCCTTTTTTTTCACTGTATAACTGCATTTACTTATACAGGTGGTACCCTGCAATTGGACCCTAATCAGTTGTTAGACTTAGGTCTAACTGTGGAGCAGTCAAATTATAAGACAATGTCAAATGCAATGTTTTCTACACTAATATGATGTATAAAGACTCTATTTGGGTCAAATTGCAGGGCAGAGGTGTAACTGGAAGTCAACCTTTCAGCAACTTTGACCATCAAATTGCGGGGTGGAAAAATTTTAGGGTGATAAAATTGCAAGGTGCATAGGTGGTATCTTGCAATTTGACCATCCTGCAATTTGACACACAAATTTACTAGGACATCAATTCGCAAATTGACCTCATGCCCCACAATTAAACCTGCAGAGTGACTCAAAATGTCAAACTTGATTTGTCAAAAATTAAATTTCACAGCTCTCACAATTTGACTGCCTTGGAATTCAACCCTTATCTAGCAATGGATTAGGGTCAAATTGCGCGGCACCACCTGTACCCCTGTAATGGAATATATAACTCAACGACACAATCTGAACCTTCAATTCAGCAGGGAAGATATCAGATCTTCGTTTATATCCAGACAAAAGAGGATCAGTGCGAGACATGACAGGACCAACGACTGCCGTGGTTTCCTTGGTTTTGGTGGTGAATTCTTACGTCTTGTTGACGGCAGCAGCGTCGCATTATAATCAAGCGAGTCATAAAGACGATGACCTGGACCGGATCACTGATGCTCTTTTCCAAGCTGTGAAAAGATCAGCTTCTTGGGCAGCTCTCCACAGCACTTGGGGCAAACGTGCCGCAGGCTGGAATAATCTTCAAGTG